CCAACAACAATTCCCCGCAAACTGCCAATATCCCAATCCCCTCCTTTAAATGTGCAGCATTGTACTTCCCATTTCCCAGGACTCAACCGTCTATATGAAAATAACCGGTTTCCCCTGAATCCCTGTCACTAAATATTACCTACCCTGCTCAACACATCCAACAGATCGCGAGACCCGAGAAAACATTCGTCTCCATTCACTCCTATCTAACACTCTCATGCATTTGGAAGTAAGGGGTTCGTAACCCCCTTTGGCAGTATCATTACTACAGTTATATAATCATAGAATTGAATGAGGGAAAAAGAGTGAGTGGTGCACTTAGGAGTCTGTTGGAGACAAAGAACTTTGTCCTTGGAGGCAAAAGGGGAATGTAATGAGAGTATACGATTTAAAGCCAACGCTTCTTATAAGGGTGTGAAGCGTGGTGATGAAATGTTGCAGCGAGGAGAAGGCTGGAGCCGTGGAGATGTCATTTCCTGAGGGCAATGTGTTGTGTGAAAATAATGCAGAGAATTCGTAGTTTGGAAGATTAGGAGGAGGTGCGGGATAACCAAAACTGTATGTCCAGAGGGCTGAGGAAGGGATGATGAGGTGGTTCGGAACATGTAGAGAGAATGAGCGAAACAGAAATGACTCAAGAGTGTATCAGTCTGTAGTGGGAAGGAAGGCGGGTAGGGTCGGCCTAAGAAGGGTTGTAGGGGAGGGGTAAAAGGAGGTTTTGTGTGCGAGGGGCTTGGACTTCCAGCAGGCATGCTGACGTTTTTGATAGGAGTGAATGAGACAAATTGTTTTTAATACTTGACGTGCGGTTGAGTGTGAGTCAAAGTAACAATATGAAGGGATTCAGGAAACCGGGCAGGCCGACTTGAGGTCCTGAGATGGAAGTACAGTCCTGCACTCTGAAGGAGGGGTGTTATGTGCAGTTTAAAAACTGTAGTGTAAAGCACCCGTTCTGGCAAGACAGTTATGAGTGAATGATGTGAAAGTTTTTCTTTTTCTTCGGGCCAACTCAGCCTTGTGGGAAATCGGCCGGTGTGATAATAAAAAAAAAAAAAAAAATATAATATATATATATTAATATTATATATAAATATATATATATATCTTTCAACGCACTTGGACCACAACCCACAGAAGCAGGGTGACCCAAAAAAGCAAAACAAAAGATTTGCTCGTTTTAAACTTTAGTAAAGTTACTGCAAAGGGGGTACTACCCCCTTACTTCCAACATGCATGAGCGTGTTACTAGGATTGAATGGATACGAATGATACTCGGGACCTGAACGATCTTTTGAGTGGAGCAGGAATTTTTAGTAAGGGATTCGGGGAAAAAGGGTTATTTTCATATGGGCGGACTTGAGTCCTGGAAATGGGAAGTAAACCCGCACTTTAAAGGGGGGTTTGGGATATTGGCATTTGAGGGATATGTTGTTATCTTTATACGTATACCCTTTTAAATGTTTATTCTGAGCACCCCTGCAAAAAACAGTGATAATGTGTGGGTGGGAAAGGTTGAATGAGAGAAAATATTTTTCTTTTTGGGGGTTTCTTTTTTTTTTTGGGTCCCCTGCCTCGTGGGAGACACCAAATTTTTGAAAAAAAAAAAAAAAAAATATAATATACAGTGGACCCCCGGTAACGATTTTAATTTTCCCAAGAGGGGGAATTGTTATGCGAAATAATCGTTTTGTGAATAATTTTCCCCCTAAGAAATAATGGAAATAAAATTAAACCGGGCAAGACCCCAAAATAGAAAAAAAAATTTTTTTACCACATGAAATGTTAATTTAAACACCAAAAATGAAAAAGGCTGCACAATCAGACACTTACTTTTATTGAAGATCTGGGGATGATTGAGGGGTGGAGAAGGGGGAAAAGAGTGTTAGTGTTTTGAGGGAATCCCCTTCCCCTTAGGACTTGAGGTAGCAAGTCCCTTTTTGGGTTACTTCCCTTCTTTTTTAATGCCCCAGGGGAGCTTCAGAGTCACGGGCTTTTTTCGCACAAGATTCTGTCCATGTGGCCCGTACCCCTCGTTCCTTTATGACTTGCCTAAAGTGTTTTTCCCAAAATTTTCAGTGTAATAAAACCGCAATCTTGCAATTAGCTTTGGGGGGGGATTTTCATCCAGAAGGTTTGCACTTCAAGCCACTTTTCACAATTTCCTTTTTCTTTTTAGTGGAACCTTTTTCAATTTCTCCTTTCCCCCCCTCTGAACCAGTTTCCCCAGGTCTGGCCTCTTGCTCTTGAAGTTGATCTATCAGCTCATCAGTGGTTAGTTCTTCATTGTCCTCCTCCACCAACTCTTCCACATCCTCCCCACTAACCTCCAACCCCAAGGACTTTCCCAATGCCACAATGGATTCCTCAACTGGCACAGGATTCTCAGGGTTAGCCTCAAACCTTCAAAACCCCTTTGTCTACACATTCTGGCCACAGTTTCTTCCAAGCAGAGTTCAAGGTCTTCTTAGTCACTCCCTCCCAAGCCTTACCTATAAGGTTTACACAATTGAGGATATTAAAGTGCTCTCTCCAAAACTCTCTTAGAGTCAGTTGAGTTTCTGAGGTCACTACAAAGCACCTTTCAAACAGAGCTTTTGTGTACAGTTTTTTGAAGTTTGCAATAACCTGCTGGTCCATGGGCTGCAGGAGAGGAGTGGTATTAGGAGGCAAAAACTTCACCTTAATGAAGCTCATGTCCCCATAAAGTCGCTCTGCCACGTCTGTAGGATGACCAGGGGCATTGTCTAACACCAGGAGGCACTTAAGGTCTAATTTCTTTTCAGTTAGGTAATCTTTCACATTGGGGCAAATGCATGGTGTAACCAGTTATAGAAAAAGTCCCTAGTGACCCATGCCTTACTGTTTGCCCTCCACAGCACACACAAATTATCCTTGAGGACATTCTTTTGCCTGAACGCTCTGGGAGTTTCAGAGTGATACACTAATAAAGGCTTAACTTTGCAATCACCACTAGCATTGGCACACATCAACTAAGTAAGCCTGTCTTTCATAGGCTTATGTCCTGGGAGTGCCTTTTCCTCCTGAGTAATGTAGGTCCTGCTTGGCATTTTCTTCCAGAACAGGCCTGTTTCATCACAATTAAACACTTGTTCAGGTTTCAGTCCTTCACTGTCTATGTACTCCTTGAATTCCTGCACATATTTTTCAGCCGCTTTGTGGTCCGAACTGGCAGCCTCACCATGCCTTATCACACTATGGATGCCACTACGCTTCTTAAATCTCTCAAACCAACCTTTGCTGGCCTTAAATTCACTCACATCATCACTAGTTGCAGGCATTTTTTTAATTAAATCCTCATGCAACTCCTAGCCTTTTCACATATGATCGCTTGAGAGACGCTATCTCCTGCTAGCTGTTTTTCATTTATCCACACCAATAAGAGTCTCTCAACATCTTCCATCACTTGCGATCTTTGTTTCGAAACACAGTTAAACCTTTGGCAAGAACAGCTTCCTTGATTGTCTTTCTGGTGCCCACAATGTAGCGATGGTTGATTGGGGTTTCTTGTACAACTTGACTAGGTCGGCGATACGCACTCCACTTTCATACTTATCAATGATCTCTTTCTTCATTTCAATGGGAATTCTCACCCTTATTGGTGTACGGTTGGCACTAGAAGCTTTCTTGGGGCCCATGGTCACTTATTTTCCAGAAACAGCACCGAAAACACTGTAATAATACGAAATATTCCGAGTGTATGCTTGGATGTTACCGCGGAGGCTGGCTGGTAAACAATGGCACGGGCGGCACATGTGAGGCTGGCTGAGGGCGCACATTGGACGCGTCTCGGACGAAAATCGGTGAGCGGGTTTTTAATCGGTATGCGCGGCAAAATTTTTGCGATTAAAGTAAGCGGTATGCGGATTAATCGCTATGTGATGCCATCGTTATGCGGGGGTCCACTGTATATATATATATATATATATATATATATATAATATATATATATATTATATATATATATATATATATATATATATATATATATATATATATGTATATATATATATGTATATATATGTATATATATATATATATATATATATATATATATATATATATATATATATATATATATATATATATATATATATATATATATATATATATATATATATATATACTGTAGTGTAAAGCACCCTTCTGGCAAGACAGTGATGGAGTGAATGATGGTGAAAGTTTTTCTTTTTCGGGCCACCCTGCCTTGGTGGGAATCGGCCAGTGTGATAATAATAAAAAAAATATATATATATATATACATATGTATATATATATATATATTTATATATATATATACATAAATAATATATATATATATATATATATATATATATATATATATATATATATTATATATATATATATATATATATATATATATATATATAATCTTTCAACGCACTGGCCACAACCCACTGAAGCAGAGTGACCCAAAAAGAAAAACAAAAGTTTCTCTTTTTAACTTTAGTAATGTATACTGCAAAGGGGGTGGGTTACTAGCCCCTTACTTCCAACATTTTAGTCACCTCTTACGACACGCATGGCTCATGGAGGAAGATTTCTGTTAAACTTCCCCATGGAGATAAGAGGAAATAAACAAGAACAAGAACTAGTGTGAAAATAGAAGAAAACCCAAAGGGGTGTGTATATATATGCTTGTACATGGAAGTGTAGTGTGACCTGAGTGTAAGTAGAAGTAGCAAGATGTACCTGAAATCTTGCATGTTTATGAGACAGAAAAGAAGATACCAGCAATACTACTATCATGTAAAACAATTACAGGCTGTAAAACAGTTACACTCCCATACATACATACATACCTAAATTAATTTCAGTATTTTTTAATTCTATATGTATGTCAGCCTGGAAATATTTTATGTTAATATTCCAATTGTAAATAGTCCAAAATTTATCCATAAATGTTAGTTTGACCATTATTTTATGTTACATGTGTGTGTGTGGCTGTTGGACCCCACCAGTGGCACCCAACCGCCCTCAGTTGGAGGTTGAGACACAACAAGTGTTGGCAGGGCAGAACTTCACTGTGCAGGAAGATCAGCCAGCTACAATAAAGTGCATCTCCCACTATGGCAATCCCCCAGCTGATATCAAGTGGTTCATCGGTAAGTATGTGCCAGAAAAAAAAATGGGAGAAATTAACTTCTATGCTAGTTATGGTATTGCTGATGTTTGTAAAGAAAACTTATTAGTAAAGTAATTCGATTTGTATAAGGTTTCCTATTATATACTTTAGACAGTTGTCCAGAGACAAGATAAAGATTGAAGAAAAGAAAGAGTACAGGCAAGAGTAGCTGGGGTTAAGATAAGATAAGATAAGATTTTGTTCGGATTTTTAACCCCGGAGGGTTAGCCACCCAGGATAACCCAAGAAAGTCAGTGCGTCATCGAGGACTGTCTAACTTATTTCCATTGGGGTCCTTAATCTTGTCCCCCAGGATGCGACCCACACCAGTCGACTAACACCCAGGTACCTATTTGCTGCTAGGTGAACAGGACAATAGGTGTAAGGAAACGTGTCGGAATTTCCACCCGCCGGGAATCGAACCCGGGCCCTCCGTGTGTGAAGCGGGAGCTTTAGCCACCAGACCACCGGGTTACGGTATTGCAGTTGACAGACCAGAGACATTTTTGTTTTAAGCACTAGTTTTATGGCATATAAAAATGTATCAGCAGTGATATTTTAGATACTGTGTATCCTAAAGGGGTAACTTTATTGGGAGTGGCACTTGTCATGCTATTAAGGACATGCTATAAATACAGTGTACAATGTTTCAATCCAAACATATATCATTATTGGTTATATCATCTCCACGATTCTTCCAGAATGATACTGCTTCTACTATAACAAAATATTTTTATGTAATTCTGACAAATCCTGCTTTTTTATACCATGAACCTTAGTTACAAAGGGATTACAGATGTTAGTTACAAGGGGATTACAGATGTTCCTGCACTCTTTTGTATTCTACAGTGCAGAATCTTTTATCCAAAATTCCAAAATCTGAAAGTTTTTTGAATATTTGACATGACATACCACAAATGGATCATTAAGAATAAGACATGGTGAGGGCTTGATCCTCTGTCTGTTGAGCCAAATAAAATAATGAATAAATAACAAAAATAATCATAAAAATTTGTTGGCACTTAGCACTGGTAGGCTAAGGTAAACCAAGCTATGGAGTCAGATGAACTCTGGGTAGTGTCAGTAAGCACATTTGTCTGTTTACCGTCAAACTACCCAGCAATAATATTTTTTCTCACCTCACACAATACTGATATTAACCCTTTTGGAATCCATGCCATAGTACTATGGCTTTGAGCTTAGGGTCCATGCTGTAGTACTACTGTGTGATGAGCTCAGCTCACTTAGATAAGCTGTGAGCAGTAAATTTTGGCCTAGATATGAAAAAGTGGGTCTGTGTGGTGAGTGTGCACCATATCAAAAGATCCTGCCCCCCACAGAATGCATGATAGAAAAAACAAAACTGTGACCCCAATTTTTGCATGTTTTTTAGGGGGGTTTTTTGGGGTTTAATTCTAAATTTTTTTGGAAAATTTTGATAGAAGGGGGAGTTATTACAGAAACAGATATTTTGTTTGGGTTTGAAAAAAGGAAGGGGCTTGAAACTGACCCTCAAAATACCCAGATATATTCGATTTTTTGCCCAAATTCCAGGGGAAAACAAATATGCCACTGTACATGCCCAAACCCTGGGGGGCCCTAATCCCGTTCATTTACTGCACTGACATTATTTATACAATTATTTGTTACAGTAATGCAGTTGTCTGCATAATATTTAACTACTATGTATTAAATAGTAGAAAAAAAAACTTAAAAAATTAAACAAGAAAATTTTTTAAAATCACAAATTAAAAGGCAGTCCCTTTCTGTAAAAACAAACCCCTTTCTGCATTGGGACAGTGAGTTGGGGAAAAGGGGCCAAAAACCAACACAAAAAAAACACAAAAAAAAGTCCTCCCTTTTATGCTTTGCAACCTTTTCACCTATTTTGCCCCATGGGTATGCATCTCCTCTGGGCATAATGCTTTCCTGGAGTTTTTTCCCTGGTAGAGATTTGGGGGGGCCAAAAGGCCCCCCCGGCCCGTCCCGGGGACCAGGCCTCCCGGTGGGCAGAGCCTGAAACAAAAAGGCTTTACTGAGGCTGCAGCAAACCAACCCTACGAGCCAAAACCCCGGGATCAGAAACCGGGCTTTAGGTGCTTTTCCGTGCCCGCTTGAAGACTGCCAGGGGCTGTTGGGAATCCCCCCCTTTTGTAGCTGGGGGGCAGTTGAACAGTCTCGGGCCCCCAATTTTTGTATTGGGCCCTTAACGTGCTTTGACCCCCCCTGCTTTTTTTTTGGGGGGGTTTGATCGTCTGCCAAAATCTTTTTCTTTTGTAGTAGTGATTTTGTGTGAAGTTCGTACTATCCCTCTAGGATTTCTAGGGGTATAAAATCATGAAATCTTTTCCCGCCCGTTCCAGGGAATACAGGTTTTAGGAACCCCAAGCGTCCCCGTAATTGAGGTGTTTTTTCCCGTTATGCGCGCCGTAAAGGTTCTCTGTACTTTTCTAGGTCACAATTTTTCACCTGCCTTGAAAGGTCGTTAGTGTGCAGCAATATTCCACCTGAAAAAACAAGTGCCCTGAAGATTTCATCATGGGTTTGGGCACCCTCTTTTAAAGGGTTTCATTATCCATCCTGTCTTTTTTCTAGCAGATGCGATCGATACAATTTTTTATGGCCCTTTGAAGGTGAGATCCTCCGACATATCACTCCCAGGTCTTTGCTTTGGGTTTTTTTGCTCTTTTTGTGGCCAAAAATTTGTTTTGACTCTGAGAAGATTTAATTTCCTCGTGTTTACCAAAAACTAGTAATTGAAATTTCTCATCGTTGAACTTCATATTTTTTTTTTTCTGCAGCCCACTGAAAGATTTGGTTGATGTCCCCGGAGCCTTGCAGTGTCTGAAATGGAAGACACTGTCATGCGATTCGGGTGTCATCTGCAAAGGAAGATGGGTGCGTGGCGACATCCTTTCTATGTCAATATGGGGATGAGAAACAAAGGGGACGAGTCTGTGTCTTGTGAACGGGGCTTTTCACTGTTGGGGGTTTGCCTCAGACTTTACTCTGTTGACTACTACCTTTGTTTTCTTTTTTGTGAGGAAATTAATAAATCCTCTACAACTTTTCCTTTATCCCTTTAAGCAAATTTTGTACATTTTTAACGCCTTGGTCCCCAGTCGAAGGCTTTTGCAAATTTTTGTGTATTTACATCTGATTTCTTTTGTCTTTAGTCATCTAAAACCTTGTCTAGTGATCCATATTGGGACAGACAGAGCGACCGCTTAAACCCCTTTTTTTTCCCGGGTTGTGAACTGAGGGGTATCTAAAAAGGGGGGCGATCTTGCTTTCTTGGGACCTATTCAAAGATTTTTAGATATGGGATGTTGTGCTATCAGTCTGCTGATTTTGATCTCCAGGACTGCTAAAGCCCACCGGGATATGGGGGTTTCCTTGAGAAGACTAGCTTGTGGGGGAGGAAAGACCCATGCCACAGTAACGTTGGTTGATAAAACCCGATCCACGAATGGACCAAACACCCTCCGGGTATACCCCCCGGGAAAAATTTAGGGGGGTCTGAGTTGTTGGACACAATTTGCTATAAAGGGTTTGGGGGGTAAAAATAGAGTGGAAAAATGGTGCATTTTTTTCATGCTTCCCATACTTCCATCATTGCTTTTCTAGAATAAAAAATAATATAAAATTAAAGAAAAGTCTAGCGAAAACAGCATTGCTAAAAACAACTGCAAATTATTTTTCCCACACTCCCTTATTGCTAAGTATTCTGGCAAAAACACAGTTTTAAAAGAAAACAGCAAGGATCATAAAAAATTTACATAAATAGTAATACCAAAATTTTACTGAGTTTTATATAGGGATCAAAAATTATAAATAAAAAGGACATTCATAACTGATATGCAATAAATAAAAATGACTTTTCCCTAGATAATATAAAAAATAGAATATTAATGTTGAAATGTGGGGAAAATTTTGTATAAATGATTTAAAAAAACTACAAGTGATAAATGAACACTTTGCAACATTTGGGAAATTTTTATTCGGAAATTTTTTCCCAGCCGTGGCTTCTTCAGTCCTTACGAAACAGGGGAAGATGAGGAGAAGTTTGAGATAATCAGTCCCTCAGCCTGGAGTTGATGTGTTCAGTCCAAAACTTCAAGTACATCATCTGTAGCTTTAAGTACCTCAGTGCAAATAAGTGACTCTTTAACATACAAATCATCTGACTTTTTGTTGCCTATATTTGTGGTCACATCTAAATAGGTTGTACACAGGTATCCATATTTTGCTATGAAAGTAGTCTTACACTTGGGTCTCTGTAAAAGCTACAAGCATTACATTTGCTTCCCTGAGAAGACACTGATGAGCCTAATTTTGTTATTATTTTTTTATAACCTTGAATTGCAAAATCAAAAAATGTTTTTAATGTTTGTTGCTGTCATGGGCCTTTTTTCTAACCTAAATTTTGTGGCTTATCAGAGCCACTGGTTTTTTTTTCAGTCCAACATAGATTCACAACGGAAAAAACCTGGAAACTAGTCCCAAACCTGCCCTCTGAAAAACACTCCATTGTGAGTGCCCTAAAAGATAAATCATTAAGTGTAAAAGAATCTAATCTTCTCAAAACTCTTCCTTTATGCATAAGAGTAATTTCCAACAAACCTCGGGTGTCTTCCAGAGGTATTTGATAAGTTCAATCTTTCTTGATTAACCTGGCAGTAATGCAAAGGTGCATGCGCTGGGCCCCAAAACCGGTTGAAAAAGATCAGCAACCAGGAACCTTGTTGAAATTGGGGGCATGGGGGGTGACCCCAAAAACACCTCAAGGGTTTAAGGTACAATAAGTTAATTTATAGAGATTTGTGTAAAGGTTTGGGCCCTCACTAATCGGCATCATTGGGACCTTTGGGGGCCGGATTAGTGATTTGCCGTTACAGAGTGGTTTTTGGTTTTGAATAGCTTAAAACCATCAAAAGAACACTTTCCCGCTACATCTTCCTCATTTTCACCACTGCTTCTCCCCCACGCTTGCTGCTGTGGATTACAACCACTGCACAATTTCGGGGTCATATAATGATGAAATTTTTAAATTAGCTAGCCGAAAAATTTTGCCGAATTACTGATAGAAACCCGGGTAACTGATTGTCGGATTAGTGGAAAGCTGACCTGTACATATTGGGGTTAATAAAAGGGGTCTGTAGCAGTGAGGTAACTTTTAAAATTATTTATTTTTTTTTATGAAGTAAAATTTTTTGAAAATTTTTTAAAATTTACTAGTATATACAGTGACGTGGTGGGGGGAAACGATTTTTGCTTTTTTATTGCTTAAGTGCAATTTTTTCATGTTTTTATTGAAAAAGTACTTTTGGACTTTGATAATTTTTTATAGATTTACTTTAAAATCGAATGCCTAGGCACCGGGGGTGAAGAAAATCCCCTTCCGATCGTATGAACAGACCAACTCACGGGGGTGGAAACCCCCCCAAGACGGTGGGAGTGTCTGCTGGAGCAATTTACATCAAAGGAGAACCATGGACTCCCCTTCGCTGTGTGGCCATCCACCAGGGTTAAACCCCAAATAAGTCTGAGGCTGTTTAAGTCATCAGGGTGTCAAAGTGAGAACTTCTGTTTCTTAACATGAGAAGTATGTAATTTTTTAAAAATACTAAAAGTCTTCCAAATTTTAAAGGTTTTTCCCCTAGGTATAAAAAAATCAACTTGTATAGCAACCCAATATTAGATAAGGCCAATTAATGAATATTAAAAAACTAAATTTTGGTAGCTAAAGCAATGTTAATGAGGCAAAAAATAACACTTTACAGTGCAAATTTAAAAGGGTCAACAGACCTAGTAAAAAATTTTATTTAAGTGGTTTATAAAGTAAATATTAGTTAAAAGGTCTTGGTACCATCCAGATGCTTTTTTCGATACAAAGCCTTAAAGTATTGAATGATCATTCAATTTTTTATTTTACTTGAATCTTTTGAACAGCCCCCCTTTATTCACAAATTTTAGTGATAAATAAATTTGCAAGAATTTACAGGAGAACTACAATGGGAGCTGTCAGTAGCAAATTACTGTGCAGTTTTCTTTAGTATGTGGTTGCCTGTGTGTGTGGCATGTTGTACTGCATGTGATGTCCTTTGTGGGTTTCCTTACATGTTGTTTTTGCATGTGTGTGTGGGTCTGTCCTGCCTTTGCTGGTGTGGTGTTGTGTGTGTTGTGTGGGTTTTTCTCCCCTTATTTTCCTGCATCTGTTTGTCCTTATGTGTTATTGCTTGTCAAAAAATTGTCCGGCATGGGGCCGGGCTTACTAGACTGGAGTCAGTTGTCATAGGCCAGGACTAATGCTGGAAAATTTTATGGCTATCAGATGCACCCACTGTAACACTGGAGGGAGCTCCTTCTGAGGATATAGAAGAAGGAGTCGATGATGTGAGTCTCCGATGCTTAGTGGACTCGAATCCAGCAGCCAGTGTGGTGTGGCGTGTTCTGGGTGAGACAGACGTGTTCAGCTTCCTGTCAGAAGTTAGATTCAGTCCCGCTACCCGCAAGCACTCAGCCACCTACACTTGTGAGGCCAGAAATTCTGTTGGAGGCTCTTATCCCATTTCCGTCAATATTGATGTAAAGTGTAAGTACCAGTGTGGATTTCTGTGATTAATAAAAAAATCTGAGTGCTAATTAAATTTATTGATTAATGGAAGTTGATCAAGAATCTCTTGTTTAGGTGGAGTAAATTAAAAATATAAGAACATAAGAATGAATATATATATACAGTGGACCCCCGGTTAACGAACTTTTTTCATTCCAGTAGTATGTTCAGGTACCAGTACTGACCGAATTTTTTCCCATAAGGAATATTGTGAAGTAGATTAGTCCATTTCAGACCCCTAAACATACACGTACAAACGCACTTACATAAATACACTTACATAATTGGTCGCATTTGGAGGTGATCGTTAAGCTGGGTCCACTGAATAATATAATATATATATATATATATATATATATATATATATATATATATATAAATATATATATATATATATATATATAATATATATATAATATATATATAATATTTTATATATATATTATATATATATATATATATATATATATATATATATATATATAATATTTTATATATAATATATATATATATATATATATATATATATATATAATATTTTATATATATATATATATATATATATATATATATAACCACCCCTGATAAGAAGGGCAAAAAAATTGTATTATGAGAACAGATTATCCAACTTACGAGGTGATATAAAAAAGACCTGGAAAACCCTATCAGAAATTCTAGGAACAAAAAAGATATCAAGAAATAGCGAAATAAAATTAGCAAAATCAGATGAACCCCAACTCCCACCAACAGAAACAGCAAACAGACTCAATGATTTCTTCTCCACTATAGGACAAAACCTTGTCAATAAAATCCCAACTCAGATACCCCACCAAATGACTACCTCACCGGCAACTACCCGAACACACTTTTCCTAGCTCCGACTAACCCATACGAAGTCTCCCTTATTATCAACACACTAAAAAACAAGGCAGGAGATTTAAATACCTTACCACCCTTTATATACAAAAAAGTGTCACAAGTGCTATCACCAATCATTGCAACACTCTTTAACAATCCATTGAATCCTCCACCTTCCCTACAGTACTCAAAATAGCAAGGGTCACCCCGATCCACAAAGGAGGAGACCAAACAGAGTTGAATAACTATAGGCCAATATCCAACTTACACCCTCTCTCAAAAATCTTCGAAAAATTAATTCATAAACAATCTACTCCTACCTTATCTCCAAAACATACTAAAACCCCTGCCAATTTGGATTCAGGCCTAATAAAAATACTAATGATGCTATTATACACATGCTAGAACATATATACACTGCAATAGAGAAAAAAGAAGTCCACTGGGGATCTTCATTGACTTACGTAAAGCTTTTGATACAGTTGACCATGACTTGCTCCACGTAAAATTGTCACACTATGGTATAAGAGAGGCACTCCCTCAACTACCTCAAGTCATACCTCAGCAACAGAAGCCAATATGTGTATGCAAATGGGGCAAACTCCTCTGCACAACCAATTACAGTTGGTGTCCCACAGGGAAGTGTCCTTGGCCCTCTTCTCTTTCTCCTATACATAAATGACCTACCAAATGCTTCGCAATTACTCAAACCCACACTATTTGCAGATGACACTACATACGTCTTCTCCCACCCGAGCCCAGTCACGCTAGCCAATACTGTAAATACCGAATTACAGAAAATATCTACCTGGATGAGAACTAACAAACTTTCACTAAACATTGACAAAACCTACTTCATTCAGTTTGGTAACAGAGCTACAGATGTCCCTCTTAACATAATGATAAACGGATCACCTATCACAAAGCTAACAGAGGGAAAATTCTTAGGAATCCACCTTGATAATAGACTCAAATTTCATACACATATACAACAAATTTCTAAGAAAATTTCCAAGACTGTAGGCATACTATCGAAGATACGGTACTATGCTCCACAGTCAGCCCTCCTGGCCCTATATCACTCTCTTATTTACCCCTATCTCACCTATGGAATTTGTGCATGGGCTCAACAACAAGTAACCATCTCAGACCACTAATTACCCAAAAAAAAGGCTGCAGTTAGAATGATAACAAATTCTCACTATAGGCAGCACACTCCACCAATATTCAATACACTAAACCTCCTCACCATACAAAACATCCATACTTACTACTGCACCTATTACATACATAGAACACTTAACTCTGATATTAACCCTCCCCTCAAACATCTCCTTGCCAACCTCAACAGAACACATGACCATAACACAAGGCACAGATCACTCTTTGATGTTCCTCGTGTCCATCTCACACTATGTAAAAACTCAATGCACATAAAAGGACCTAAAATCTGGAATTCATTACCTGTAAATATAAAAGAAACACTACCTGTTTATAAATTCAAGTCTCTTCTCAAAGATCACTTCCTCACCCAAAACCAAATAAATACTGAATAACTGAACCTTATAAATTGTATATCTTAAATGTTTCTCACAATTATATCACATAAATGTTAAACCTAAAACCCAATCTAACTTTATTATTTTTTAAATACACTACCTAACAGAATACTCCATTCTACTGAATGTACAACAATGCATACAACCATATGACCTGTCTTTGTAATACTCACTTGTGCTTTATAGTAATCTTTTACATTAATGTTTTATCACTGATTTCATCATTGCTTAGTTAATCTTAAGTTAATTTTAAGCCAGCCCGTAATGCTATGCATAGTATAAGTGGCTTTGGCATACTGCTCTTACCTGTATTTGTTGTACCTCTGTATGTGTGCTCAAATTTTTAAATAAATAAATAAATAAATATTATATATATGGATATATATATATATAATTATATATATACTATATATATATATAATAATATATATATATATATATATATATATATATATAAAATATATATAATGTATATATATATAATACAGTGGACCCCCGGTTAACGAACTTTTTTCATTCCAGTAGTATGTTCAGGTGCCAGTACTGACCGAATTTTTTCCCATAAGGAATATTGTGAAGTAGATTAGTCCATTTCAGACCCCCAAACATACACGTATAAACGCACTTACATAAATACACTTACATAATTGGTCGCATTTGGAGGTGATCGTTAAGCGGGGGTCCACTGTATATGTGTGTGTGTGTGTGTGTGCAATAAGATCACAGTAAACAGGTGATTTCAGAATATGCAAAACAACCACTCTGAAAGAATAGAGAAATTCCAAGTGCTTTCGTGACTACTCACATTATCAAGGAACTATGAAAGTAAAGCATCCAAGGAAGGTATATAAGGGGATCTGGCCAACACCTTACTATCAGATCCCACAACAGTTAAACACCTGACGTGCGCCGGCCCAACTGGACTGGTCCTTTGCACAACCACCAACAAACTATTCTACCCAAGAAAATTTTTAAAATTATTATTTGTCCAGTGTATTATTAAATTCTTCCCAAATTCTATTAATTATAAATGGATCTAATTTATATAAACCAAAGGAAATATTCATATTATTGTCAAAACTGCTTTTTATGAAACAAGATTCAATTATATTCCTGTCGACCATGGACTTGCTTGATACTACTTTCTCAACTTTTTGAAAATCAATTGGATGGTTAAAATCTCTTACATGAATAAATAGAGCATTGGAATCTTGTCCAGTTCTAATGCTATATTTATGTTGTTTTAATCTTAGTTCGAGATTTTTACCAGTTTGACCGTAATAAACTTTATCGTAAATTTTACAAGGAATCTTATAGACACATCCATCAGCATTTTGGGGGGAATTCTTTATCAAAAGTTTTTTTACTGTATCAAGATTTTTGAATACAACTTTAATATTAAAAGTCTTAAGAAGAGAAGGCATATCAACCAAGTTTTCATGGTAAGGGAGAACCAACATATTTTTAGTTGAATAAGGCTGGTTGTCCCTTTTTGGATTGTAAAAAGTATTTCTAGCAACTTTAAAAGATTTATCAATTACATTCTTGGTATTTTAAATCATTACCTATTTCATAAATTCTGGATATTTCCTCATCTATGAACTCAGGACTACAAATTTGTAAAGCTCTCAAAAACATTGATGAGAAAACAGACAGTTTGACTCTATCTTGATGCGAAGAATAATAGTGGACATAGGAACAGTTATTTGTAGGTTTTCTGTAAATTTTAAATTTGAATTCATTATTACCCTTAATAATTAAAACATCTAGAAAAGGTAATGAGTTATTTTCTTCAAACTCAACAGTAAAGTTTATGGAATGGGCTAAGCTATTTAATTTTCCAAGGAAATGGTGTATATCTACATTTTTGGGCATAAGACACGAAATATCATCAACATATCTGAACCATTTAGCTCTATTAGGGAGGATTGTGTTAAGCAATCTTGTTTCAAAAAATTCCATGTATAGGTTACTAAGAACATGTGAAAGAGGATTTCCCATTGCCATACCAAACTTCTGAGTGTAAAACTTATCATTAAATACAAATTTTGCATCAACAATGCAAAGTTTAATAAGTTTAATGATAGTAGGAACTGGCAATGGTAAATCATAGTTAACGAGTTCTTCAGATAAGAAACTTAATAAATCATCAACAGGAACTTTCGTAAACAAGGAAGTAACATCAAAACTAACCATGTTAAAATCATTTAAGTCTGTCAAGGAGCTTAATTTATCAACTAAGTCTATGTTGTTTTTAACATTAAAGTTAGAAATTTTGCCAACAATAGGGCTCAAAATATCAACAAGCCATTTGGATAATTTATATGAAACTGACCCTATGGAGCTAATAATTGGTCTGACTGGATTCCCTGGTTTGTGTGTTTTTATTAGTCCATACATGTAAGGTAAAGATGGATTAGTGGAAGTAAATTGTTTGACTAATTCATCTTTGCCTTTCAGTAGAAGTTTTATTGCTTTATTGAAATTGCTGTTAATGGTTTCTAGGGGATTTGTCCTAAGTTTCGAATAGGTTTCAGTATCATCTAAGTCTCTAAGAGATTATTCATTTTTTCTTGGTAATCATTTTCTTTCATAATTACTATTGCATTTATTTTGTCTGCTTTAGTAAGGCGCAAATTTTTATTGTTATTAAGTGTTTCTTGGGTAGAATAGTTTGTTGGTGGTTGTGCAAAGGACCTGTCCAGTTGGGCCGGCGCGTGTCAGGTGTTTAACCGTTGTGGGATCTGATAGTGAGGTGTTGGCCAGACCCCCTTATATACCTTCCTTGGATGCTTTACTTTCATAGTTCCTTGATAATGTGAGTAGTCACGAAAGCACTTGGAATTTCTCTATTCTTTCAGAGTGGTTGTTTTTCATATATATATATATATATATATATATATATATATATATAAAATATATATATATATATATATATATATATATATATATATATATATATATATATATATATAATATATATATATATATATATATATATATATATATATAATATATATAATATATAGATATAGATATATATAGATATATATATATATATATATATATATATATATATATATATATATAATATATATATATATATATATATATATATATAATATATATATATAATATATATATCATAAGTACAGTAATATGAGTGTATATTTTGTATATTAAGTAGGTACAAATTCTGAAAAAGTGGAGGGATGTGTTGTCTGGCTTAGGAATTGGTGATCATTTGTACAGCAGCTTTTTGTTGGGTTATTAACATCCCCAAGCACAAATACCATAGATGAGGTAAGGGTAGATTAGAGAGTAGTATAGTGTAAGTAGTGCCATTTGGGGTACATAGTATCTTGGAAAGGATGCCTACTGTTTTTGATACCTTCTTGGCTATATGTTGGATGTGGGTCTTAGTTGGAATGGTCCATTCTTGAGATTTTTTAACTTCTTATGGTAGGTATATAAGTTGTGCATTGCTGTCAAAGTCTTCATTGAAATGTTTCACAAAATTTTGGACTTGATATAGCTCACTGTGTGGGCAAAACTTTAGACTGTAATTGTGTCTTTATCAATTGTGCCAGTATTCTCTACCTTTTCTCTCCACTATACAAAATTGCTGAGTCAATGCAAGGAAACTCTTGATTGTTATTCCACTTAGTGATAAGTTATAGTGTTAAAAAATACTCCAGCAGGCCTACTGGCCCATGCTAGGCAGATCCTTCTTAAATCCTAACCCTTCTCAAATCCCAACCCTAAGGAGTTAACCTCAGCATATCTTGCCTGACTCCACATTATATCACTTGTTATATATACTCTCTTCTTCTCTCTCTAGGCAGATCTCTTTGTGACCTGATAAAATTCACTGTGTGGGTGACACATTGTTAATAAACAATTGCTTTATATTGCATTTGTCCCTTTTCCAAATGCCATTAAATTTCATTCTTTCCTAAGTGATGTTTGTCTCCTGTCCATCTATTTTGGATCATCTCTATTTTATTACTCAAAATGCAATATATGAAAGGGGAAATTTGAAGACAGGAATGGCAAAAGATAAACAGAAGACAGTCCAAAAAGGAAAGAGAGGCAACGGTGAAGATCAGATCAAATCATGAGCAGTGGCGTCATAAAGGGGGGAACAGGCTGCCCCAGGTAACACCATCAAGGGGTGACACTATAGTGCAAATGGAGGATGGAAGAGTTCAAGTGAAGGAATTTTTTTTTGTTTTTTTTTTCCTTTGAATGGCAAAAAAGCTTCTGATATCAGTTCTGATATCCTGAAAAAGCCGGAAAGTGATGGACTGGAGTTCAATCTGTGCCATGCTCAAGAATATGACAATGCTGCCACCATGGCCAGGGTCCATAGAGGTGTACAAGCCATTCTCAAGGAAAAGAACAAGAAGGCAACTTTCAGTGGTTGTGTGGACCATTCATTGAACTTGTGTGGTCAGCATTCTTTTGCCGAGAATTCATCATGTACGAAATTTTTTGGTAGTCTTCAGTCAGCGTACACATTCTTTGCCTCCTCCACCCATCAATGGGATGTATTAATGGACCATACTGCAATCTCTTTGAAAAGATTATCAACAACAAGATGGAGTTCTCATTACAGTGCAGTGAAACCAGTAGCAGAATCGTTCAAGAAATTTGTGGCAGTGACTGAAACTCTTTGCAATCCACAGGAAAATTTGGATACAAGAGGAGCAGTGCAAGGTCTTCTCCCTGCTGTGTGCAATTTCACATTTTTGTGTTATCTGTATTTCTGGTGTTACATACTTCAGGAGGTTCATCTTGCACAGCAGTACTTGCAGACTAAAGATTTAACTCTTGGCAAAGTGGTGGTGAAGCTAGAGACACTGTGATTATTTTTGTATGAAGGGTGAGATTGCATAGTCGAGAATTCAATAGAACAGACACTTTTGAAATGTGAGGAGTATGGATTTCCAACAGAGAGACGAATCAGGTTAAAGAAAAGGATGGCATTGGAGGAGGCAAGAGATTCTGGACTCACTCAACAGGAAGAAAACAAGAGTCTGATGTTGGAGTGCATTGATCATTTTCATAATGAACTCGAGATGCGATCAAAAGCAATCAAGGATGTGGCAGCCATGTTTGGGGTCATTCAAACGAAGAATCTTTTGTAAGCTACTGAAGAATAATTGGAGGTGATGGCTTCAAGACTCACAGTCTTTTATAATGAAATATGCAAGAATGAGCTTATGTTTGAAATACCAAGACTAAGGAGGCACCTGCAAGCTGCTGATGTTGATCTTGAAAAAGTTAAGCACTTGATTGCATTGGATGCACTAACATTCATAGCTGATTGGGATTTCATTGAATCTCTTACAACTTTCACACTCTGCCTGAGGTTGTTCCTTACTATGTGTGTTTCTGTAGCTTCTTGTGAAAGGCATTTCTCGAAGTTGAAGCTGATTAAAAACTATTTACGGTCCACAATGAGTCAGTCCAGAATCTCTGACTTAGCAATGTTATCCACAGAAAATGGGTCAGTTGGCAGCATTGATTTTGATGATGTGGTAGATAATTTTGCAGGATTGAAGGCAAGGAAATGTAAGATCTGATTCATTGAGATGATACCTGTACTAAAGGTCAAATTGGAACTAGTGTTTCTTTGATATTGCAATGTTTTTCTTTATTTTTCAAGTTTTTTTTTTTGCATTGTTGAAGATGAATAAATGTAGGATCTGTTGCCTGTACTCAAAGTAGTATTTGAGTTTATGTTTCTACAATATTACTACAATTATTTATTTTATTATTAATAAAGTCGAGAAGCATTCTCCTGTTTGGTTTATGACCCTTAAACATTCTCATTGCTAAACATTAGTCATTGGGCATGCAGTAGTGACGTAACTGGAGTTTACTCCTCCCCATTCCTTAGATTTCATGGGGGTGACACCAAAGATGCTTCCCTGGATGACACCAACCCTAGCAACATCACTGATCATGAGTGTTCTAAAGATTAAGGCATTTAATTGTAAAAACCTTGGTAATTAACACTAACAAATAGTTTAAAAAAGCATGTGAGCAAAGACTAGGACATATTGGACCCTAAGACCTTGGTCATTTCGGCTTCAGAACTGAAATATTTTCTAATAAATATGTCCTAGTGGTTGCTCACATGTTTTTTAAAAACCACTACATTTATCATTTGAAAATATATGGACAAAAGCAGGCATCTAGAGGAAAAAAAAAACAGAAATAAGATTCATGTTACAAATGTTGTTCAGGATGGGCCAAAAAGTTTTCATAAGTTTCTTTACCTAAGTGGGGGTTATTTGTGAATAGATGGTTTTGATCTGTGAAAGTGTTTCTATTTAAGGGCTTAGTGACCCACAAAGACCACCACCTCCCCATGTCAATGGTTCTGTATTAGTTGTCACATTTTGGTCTGATGCAAGGTGGCTCAAGACACATGGCAAATTAGAGAAGGTAGCATAGGCAGGAGGAGACTAATCAAGCTGGAAAGTTTCAAGGTATTTTTTACAGATGTTTAAAAGTGAGTAGAGGTTGGATCATGGGCAGGTGATTCCATAATGAATCATCAAACTCTTGTGCGGAATCATATTTTTCATTCTTCCTAAACATGATTACAAGGGCTATTTTTGCAAATATACTACTAATATCTTATTGTAGTTATTTAAATTTTAATACATACATTTTATATTTTATATTCATGAAAGAAATAAACCCACTGGGGTCACATAGCAAAGAAATCTTGAAAAATGAATAAATGTCATGTCATTTAAAACAAAGAAAATGCATTTTGTCCATAGCTACATTAAAACAACTGTAATATTAAAATATACTTTGTTACTTAGAGTTTTAGTGGATATTCTCTTAGTGGTATATTTAAAAGTATGTATTTAATTTGAATAATCTGATTTAACATGCATTTCTGATATTTAATGGAATTATTTATATTAATGTAAAGTATAAAATGAGAGAGGCAAAGGTTAATTGGTCTTTGGTATCTAGATGGACCGCGAGTACTGCAGGTGGGGCCAGCTGCCATGATAACTGCTGCACTCCACAACCACACACTGCTTGAGTGTCTCGCTGAGGGCAACCCACCACCAATGTACACTTGGCTTCAGGTAGGCTCATGCTCACCTTTCACTCCCTCACACACTCGCCTCTTACTCCCCACACACTTGCCTTTCTCTCCCCCTAACACACCTACCTCTCACCCCCCACCTCCATACACCTCTCACCCCCACAAACCTCTCACCCCCACATGCCTCTTACCCCCACATGCCTCTCACCCCCACATGCCTCTCACCCTCACACACCTCTCATCCCCACACACCTCTCACCCCCACATGCCTCTCACCCCCACATGCCTTTCACTCCCACACACCTCTCACCCCCACATGCCTCTCACCCACACATGCCTGTCCACCCCCACATGCCTGTCACCCCCACATGCCTCTCACCCCCATGCCTCTCACACCCCCACACGCCTCTCACTCCCACACGCCTCTCACCCCCCCACATGCCACTCATCCCCGACATGCCTCTCACCCCCCACAAGCCTCTCATCCCCACATGCCTCTCACTCCCCACATGCTCCTCACTCCCCACATGCCTCTCACTCCCTACATGCCTCTCACCCCCACACGTGTCTTGCCCCTACACACCTCACACCCATACATGCCTCTCACCCCCAAATGCCTCTCACCCCCACATGCCTCTCACCCCCACACACCTCTCACCCCCACATGCCTCTCACCCCCAAATGCCTCTCACCCCCACATGCCTCTCACCCACACATGCCTCTCACCCCCACATGCCTCTCACCCTCACACACACCTCTCATCCCCACATGCCTCTCACCCCCACATGCCTCTTACCCCCACATGCCTTTCACCCCCACACACGTCTGTCACCCCCACATGCCTCTCACCCCCCATGCCTCTCACACCCCCACACACCTCTCACCCCCCACACGCCTCTCACCCCCCACACGCCTCTCATCCCGACATGCCTCTCACCCCCCACAAGCCTCTCACTCCCCACATGCCTCTCACTCCCCACATGCTTCTCACTCCCCATATGCCTCTCACCCCCTACATGCCTCTCACCCCCACACGTGTCTCGCCCCTACACACCTCACACCCCCACATGCCTCTCACCCCCAAATGCCTCTCACCCCCACATGCCTCTCACCCCCACACACCTCTCACCCCCACATGCCTCTCACCCCCAAATGCCTCTCACCCACACATGCCTGTCACCCCCCATGCCTCTCATCCCCCAATGGCTCTCACACCCCCACACACTTATCACCCCCACATGCCTACCATCCACACATGCCTGTCACCCCCATGCCTCTCACTCCCATGCCTCTCACCCCCCATGCCTCTCACACCCCCACACGCCTCTCACCCCACACGCCTATCACCCACACATGCCTCTCACCCCCACATGCCTCACCCCCACATGCCTCTCACCCCCACACGCCTCTCACCCCCACACACCTCTCACCCCCACACACCTCTCACCCCCACATGCCTCTCACCCCCACATGTCTCTCACCCCCACATGCCTCTCACCCCCACACGCCTCTCACCCCCACACGCCTCTCACCCCCACACGCCTCTCACCCCCACACGCCTCTCACCCCCACACGCCTTTCACCCCACACGCCTCTCACCCCCACATGCCTCACACTCCCCACACTCCTCTCAACCCCCCACACCTCTCATCCCCACACACCTCTCACCCCCACACACCTCTCACCTTTACCCCCAAACACCTCTCATCCCCATCCCCACACAACTCTCACCCCTACATGCTCACCTCACCCCACACACCTCTCCCCACACACTCCACTCACCCCCACACACTCATCTCTTACCCCCCACACACACACCTTATCCCCACACACCTCTCACCTTTACCCCAAAACACCTCTCATCCCCACTCCCACATGCCTCTCACCCCTACATGCTCACCTCACCCCAACACACCTCTCCCCACACACTCCCCTCACCCCCCACAGACTCATCTCTTACCCCCCTACACACACTGCACCCACACACACACATCACCTACATACCCCCCCCACACACACCAGTATCCTTTCACCACTCACCAGTGATCCATGGTTGGTGTTACAGACTGTTCCGGACACACAGGAGAAAGTAGTACGGGGTCACAATGCTACGCTGCTGCTGGAGGGTATAAGCTATGAACACCAGGGCCAGTATACCTGTGTCGCCTCCTCTGTTATCAAAAGCCATACTATCGAAGATGAAAGCCAGCCAATCACAGTTGAGGTCGTCGGTAAGTAACCTATTCACAACTAATTTCAATTTGTTACAATATTTTATGAGTTAAGTTAGCTCCTCTTCATAGAAATCATAAAATATACAATTTTGTATATGTGAAATATATCAGTTATTTTGTTTTTATTTGTGTTCTTTAGGATATTTGATTTCTCATGTTTAAAGTTTTATCAGCTACACGAGGCTCTTTAAGGTTGCACATCACTTGTACACCACAAGCAAAGATATTTTTATTCCCAAAGTAGGTATTATGTTTGACTTTTTTTTTTTTTTTTTTTTTTTTTTTTTTGTGTGTGTGTGTGTGTGTGTGTGTGTACCTGCCTCATCTAATTGTGGTTGCAGGGGTCAAGACGTATGTGTGTGTGTGTTTGTGTGTGTTTGTGTATATGTGTGTTTGTGTGTACTCACCTAGTTGTGGTTGCAGGGGTCGAGTCATAGCTTCTGGCCCTGCCTCTTTGCTGGCTGCTACTGGATCACTCTCCCTGCACCATGAGCTTTATCATACCTCTGCTTAAAGCTATGAATGGATTCTGCCTCTACTACATCACTTCCCAAAACTATTCCACTTCCTGACCACTCTGTGACTGAAGAAATACTTCCTAACATCCCTGTGATTCATCTGTGTCTTCAACTTCCAACTGTGTCCCCTTGTTGCTATGTCCCATCTCTGGAACATTCTGTCTCTTTTGTGTGTGTGTGTGTACTCACCTATTTGTGGTTGCAGGGGTCGATTCATAGCTCCTGGCCTCCTGTGTGTATGTATGTGTGTGTGTGTGTGTGTGTGTGTGTGTGTGTGTAGGTGTAGTGTGTGTGTGTGTGTGTGTGTGTGTGTGTGTGTGTGTGTGTGTTGTTGTGGTGTGTGTGTGTGTGTGTGTGGTTTTAAGAAACAAGAAAAATTATGGAAAGTGAAGGATAGATGAGATGAGAAGACAGAAGTGAGCAGGTTAGCCAGAAATAAATATGATAAGTGTAAGAGAAAAGCTGAGCAACAGTTTGAGAATGACATAACAGCAAAAAGCAAATCTGAACCAAAACTGCTTCAAAGCCACATCAGAAGAAAGATAACAGTATAAGACCAGGTAATTTGTCAGAAGAAGGAAGGAGAAAAGCTCAAAAGATGACAAGAAAGTCTGTGAAGTGTTTATAAAACATTGTACAGTACTCATTCCCATCCTTTTCTTTATCCTCATATCTGACATAGACAAGGATGCAAGCCACAGCACTGTGTCCTCCTTTGCTTGTGACACCCAAATTTTCATGACATCGTCATGAACAATTCATGACAATGTCATCCTCTGAAGACACTGTAAATCTCCAAGCAAACATCAACCAAATCTTTAAATTGGCCACAAGAAACAATATGAAGTTGAATGAAGACAAATTTCAATTACTCCGCTATGGAAAACTCAAGGAAATCAAAACTGGATCAGAGTATAAACCAAATTCCAGTCACTCAACAGAGTGAAAAACTAATATGAAGGACCTGGGAGTGGCAATGTCAGAGAATCTCACTTTCATAGATCACAAAAATGTATCTATCACATCTGCTAGGAAAATGATAGGATGGATAATGAGAACCTTCAAAACTAGAGATGCCAAGTCCATGATGATTCTCTTCAAATTGCTTATTCTCTCTAGGCTGGAATATTGCTGTACACTAACAGTTCCTTTCAAGGCAGGTGAAATTGCAATGCTTCAAGGGTGCATACAACTTATCATGGTTAACTACTCATGGGATAGCTGTGTCCAATATACAAGTATGCCTCACTAGCAAATAATAATAATACTTTATTTCAGCATGATACAATGTTTGTATAAGGGTGAAAGACATTTATGTGTGCATGCAGAAAGCCCCATAATATGCAGAGCATTTCGAGCAAACTTAAGACTAACTTAAGATTAATAAGGCAATGACAATTTGAGTAATTTTTATACATGCAGTCTCTTAGGAGCTGTTGTTCCACCACCAGTTTCCTTACCAGCAAACATGGTGTGCAGGTGGCTCAAAGATGACTTATTCAGTCCAATTTTATGATACTAGCAGTGGAATTCAGCCAAATCACAATAGATATATTTAACCCAGGATAACCCAGAAAAGTCAGTGTGAATAATGTCCTTGTTTTGTTGAGTATTATTTTCTAAAATAATCATAATAGTATAAGCTTTCATTGTACATAGCTTTAGAAGACCAAAATAGTAAAAAAGTAGAATAGAAAAACAGTTATACAGAATATATACTGTATACAGCCTCTCCTCACTTAGCGACGTACTTGTTTACTGATGACTTGTACTTATGATGGGCTCTCTGACCAGTATGTATACCTAAATAATGTATATTAGAGCTGATTTCCTTTATTCTTTTTATTACAATATACAGTATACTACTGTAAAATATTTAAAAATATACCAGAAATGTTATAAATGGTGCAAACATGACACTAAAACAATATCAAAGATGGTTGACACAAACCCACTACCATTATAGTGTGCTTCTCACATAGCGACGAATTTGTTTACCAACGTGGTCTTAGGAATGAAACTCTGTCCTTGAGGAGAGCTGTATATAACCAGTAAAATCAATCACTATTACTTATTTCCTATTTTTCAGAAGTAATACACTCAGAAACAATTCTAATGTTATAAGTATTCATTGTACATAGCCTTAGAAGATCAAATAGTAATAAAACAAGGCTAAAAACCAATTATACTGTATATATACAGATTATTTAAAGTGAAGTATTGTCGAAAGAAAGCATTTTCCTATGTTTGAAGTGCTAAAACACCTTGAAATTCATCTAATATCATAAGAAACTGGTGTACATAGTGTTAAACATTGAAAGTAGTAATTAAAAAAGCAGAAAAAACAATCATATCTTTGCATCAGGCTCTGGTGGCCTGGTGGTTAATCCTTAAACTGTCCAAACGTAGATCTATGTTTTTTCAACATTTGAAAGTATGTAAAAAAACGTAGATCTTATTTTTGTTTTTTTTACATTTGAAAACGTGTAAAAAACTTTGATCTACGATTTTTTTTGTTATATTTGAAAATATGTAAAAAAATTTAGATCTACTTTTGGAGCACTACGCATGTGAACATAGATCTGTTTGGACAGTTTAAGGGTTAAAGCTCTTGCTTCACACGGCGAAGGCCTGGGTTCGATTCCCAGCCAGAGTAGAAACATTGGGCATGTTTCTTTCCACCTGTTGTTTATGTTCCCCATCAGTAAAATGGGTACCTGGGTGTTAGTTGACTGGTGTGGGTCGCATCCTGGGACACTGACCTAATTTGCCCGAAATGTTCAGCATAACAAGGGGCTTTCTATATAGTAGTATGTCACTGATGTCAGCTAGGCCTGTATACCTTGTACATGTACTTGTAGTAAATAAAGATATTATTATTATTATTATAGTATTATTATTAACAATTGTAAAATGTAAATATCACTGGCACTTTTATGCTGCTGTTGCCGATAAGTCATCATTGTTTTACCAACTTCAACACACCATGAAACCTTAACTTTTTATCAGATTCCACTCGTTTTAGTCTTATTCAATTCAGAAAAATGTACTCTATCAAAATCATGCCACAACACCAGGAATTTTTTTTGCCCACTTGCCACTGCTATGGGGTTAAGCAATATTCAGTGTTATTTTCTGATCACAGTAAACCACAAATAACTGGAACTGTGGAAACTGAATCCACAAATACAGGGGTTCTACTGTGTAACTTTAGAAGTTGGAGAACAGGGATACATTCCTCAGTCACAGAAATTATTCCTATTACATTAACATTTAAAATACTAATTTATCCATATGGTGTTTTGATACAGGTGCCCCACAGGTGCTACGCTACACAGTGGAACGTAATGTCCTGGTAGAGAAAGGCCAAGATGCTGTGATCCAGATTGTCTTCTGTTCCGACCCTCAACCTTCCCGCACTTCCTGGGAGTGGGGTTCACTTCAGTTGGAGGCTGGAAATGGCAGGGGCCGCTACGTAGCTGAGAACCTAGCTCAGGTACCTTGCGCCTCGTGAGATCAGCATGAGCTTATTAGTGGATGGAATGAGTTATTTATTTAATATTTATGATGCAGTATATAAGGAAAAAATGAGAGATTAAATGAATGGTAAGGGATAGCAAAAGGAAAAAATGAGAGAATTGATATCTTAGTCAATAAATATTACTGAGAATGAGAACAAGTTTTGGAGAGAGATCTGTAAGTTGAGAAAAGCTATAGAACAACTGGATTTGGCATTTAACCCTTAAACTGTACAAACATAGAGCTACGCTATCATGCTATCATTCCAAACGTGGATCAACGTTTTAGTTTTCTTGCCTCCATATTTGGAACAGTTGGCTTGAGATTCATGGTCAGTATAGAATGGGTCTTAACACTTGGTGTTACCTGGAGTTTACCTGGAGAGAGTTCCGGGGGTCAATGCTCCCACAGCCCGGTCTGTGACCAGGCATCATGGTGGATCAGGGCCTGATCAACCAGGCTGTTACTGCTGGCTGCACGCAATCCAACGTACGAACCACAGCCCAGCTGGTCAGGTACCAACTTTAGGTGCTTGTTAGAGTATTAAAAAATCTGGGACCACTTAGTAATTTGCAGGAGCACCAGTTCAACTGAGTGCCAGCTAGAGCAAACAGCTTGGCAAATACCAGGGATTCACTAATGTCATGTTGTATCAATACTCCCTTTTGAAGAGGAAAGTGATGTTGACCCTGAGTTTAGTGGCTTTTGAGATGGATATGGCCACAAGTGGTTGAGGAAATATCATCAACCTTGATAATAACCCATATGCAACATTTGTGCAACATCCTTTCCAGTGTCATCCTGCCAGAATGTCTTATAACCTGTGCCTTAAGTAAAGAGAAATGATTCTAGAACATGTGTGATATGTGTTCAACAGGCCGGCTGGCTCGCTGGCTGATTGACTTTCACTGTCTCCATCTCCGTCTGTCTGTATCTATCTCTGTCTATCTCTATCTCTGTCTCTGCCTATCTCTGTCTCTATCTCACAGGTACATATACAGTAAGTACAGTTATTACACATAGTGTAAATTACCTAGGATAACCCAAAAAATCCAGACGAAGTGCTATACTATGCTTGTTGATACAAGGCATAATAAGCATGACTGGCAAGTAATACACATTTTCACTTATTCAGGTATCAGACATGATCACTTTGCACCATGTGTAATACCTGTTGGTTAATGAGCTGCTCTCTCTCTGAGACAGAAGGAGAGACAGGAAGACAGACACAGGCAGACAGAGAGACAGAGATAAACAGACAGATAAACAGAGACAGAGCCACACAAATGAATGGACAGATAAACACAGACAGACAGATAGACAGACACAGATAAACAGAAAGAAAGACACAGAGAGACAGACAGATAGACACCAACAGACATGTTTATGTGTAACAGTGAGAACAAATAAAGCCAATTTTCACTGGAGCATTGCATGGTCATCAAGTGTCACTCCACTGCTGCACTGTCAGCAGTGGAGTGACACTTATCTTACACCATGCTTCAAGGAGTTTCATATGCTCCAGCATGCCTAAAACATTGCTGGGACCCATAAATACTTCATATATATTTGTAGACAATAGTATATGATCAAGATAGGTGAAAATGTTCACCTGTCAGTGTGTTTGTGACTATTTGAGTACTATTTCAGTACCTAATATCAGTGTCAGAACAAAGATTGGCTATAAAATCACAAGAACTACTGCAATTTGTAATTATCAGAACATAAAAATTATATAAATTAAAATAAAAATGAGGAAAAAAGGCATATCTGCAACACTTCTGCAAGCGGCAGGACTCCATGTTGCCATCAGGTGAGCATCCAGCACAAATTTCACGGCCTTATATCTCATTAAGTACTGGCCCTAAACATATTTTTTTTTTTTTGGTCTTATTACACAGACAATTGCCCTATTTAAAAAAAAAAAAAAAAAATTCTCAAAATATCCGGAGTGCTAGCAGTGAGGACGTAGATCTACGTTTGGACAGTTTAAGGGTTAAGGACAATGGATGTGAAATATTATGTGGAAAGATGAAGATTTTAGAAAAGATGAAGTGAACATTTTGAAAAGTTGAATGCTGATACAAATACAAATATAATGAAGAAAGAGAGGCTGTTATTTCATGCATTGGACAAGGAAGAATAAGATCTAGTAGCAGGAGTAAGTGAAGGAAATTCATGAGGTAGTAAGCAAGACAAAAGGAAGTACTGTAGCTGGAATGATGGAATTAAAACTGAAATCCTAAAAGCAAACTGGTATATATTATTGGAATGGTAGAGGTACCAGTATTTTATTTAATATATGCACTAAAAAAGGGAAGGTATCTAAGGATGGTAGAGAGCATGCATTTACTTTGTGTCAGGGAAAGTAGAACAAGAAAGAGTAGGAATAATAGAATAAGTCTGTTGAGTGTACTGGGAAAGGTATGTGACAGAATTATAAAACAGGAATAAACCATAAAGTAGAACTGCAGAAGAGCAATAAGGATTTACAAAGGGTAGGAGATGCATAGCCCAAGTGTTAGCATTTAAGGCATTTAGTTGGCTTTCCCAACTTATGATGCTGAGTGCATTCTGAAAAGTCTATTCAGTATGAAATGTTCGGAACTTATTTTCCTATAGACACATGTCATATTTAGAGATGTATTCTAGAGCCATAACACCCATGATCTTATTTCATTCATTTTTTTAATTAAGAATATTTAACCAGAATTCAGGGTAAACAAATCCAGCAAATTGTGTCAAGGTTAAGAACCAGAGTCAGTATGGAACCAGAGTCAGTATGGAACCAGAGTCAATATGGAACCAGAGTCAGTATGGAACCAGAGTCAGTATGGCACCAGAGTCAGTATGGCACCAGAGTCAGTATTGCACCAGAGTCAGTATGGCACCAGAGTCAGTATGGCACCAGAGTCAGTATGGCACCAGAGTCAGTATGGCACCAGAGTTATTATGGCAGCAGAGTCAGTATGGCATGAGAGTCAGTATGGCAGCAGAGTCAGTATGGCAGCAGAGTCAGCATGGCAGCAGTCAGCATGGAGCAGAGTCAGTATGGCACCAGAGTCAGTATGGCAGCAGAGTCAGTATGACACCAGAGTCAGTATGGCACCAGAGTCAATATGGCACCAGAGTCAGTATGGCACCAGAGTCAGTATGGCACCAGTCAGTATGGAACCATAGTCAGTATGGAACCACAGTCAGTATGGAACCACAGTCAGTATGCTATTAGGAGGGAGATAACACAGTTTTGTAGTATAGTTGACCATTATATTATATGGTTTTATTTGGCACATTTTGGTTATTGCAGTATTGAAAAATTGTGGCACAATTTTATACAACACTTCATAAAATAAACTTAACACAGTTCGGTTTGCGGGAGGGGAAAAAGTTTGGAGCGTCGCCCGCAGGATTGAGTTTCAATCTTTTAATTGCCATATCTTGAATCTGCCAAGCAATCATGGCACCCAGTAGGCATACAAGTGATGCTGAAAGTGACAAAAAATGGTTTAAGCATTTAAGTCTAGGAGTTATGATGAAAATCGAGATATGTATTAGACAAGCTTAAGAGTGGCTCATGTGTGGTGGATATAATGAGGGCCTATGGCCTTAATGAAGCATCAGTCCATACAATTAAAAAGAATGAGGTGAATATATGAGCTCGTATAATGAATAACCCAGGATGTCATCTCATGAAAAGAATGACACGTAGATCACAACAAGTAAATAAAACTGAAAACTTGTTGCTTGAGTGGATTGAACAAAAAACAAAGAAAGGTGCACCACTTAATTTCATCTTAATTAACCCTTTCAGGGTTTCGGCCATACTAGTATGGCTTACGTCCCAGGGTTTTTGACGTACTAGTATGGCTTACGCCCCAGGGTTTTTGACGTACTAGTACGCCTAAATTCTAGCGCCCTCAAATCTAGTGAGAGAAAGCTGGTAGGCCTACATATGAAAGAATGGGTCTATGTGGTCAGTGTGCACAGTATAAAAAAAATCCTGTAGCACAGTGCGTAATGAGAAAAAAAAAACTTTGACCGTGTTTCTGGATTAAAACAGCGACTTTGCACTGTATTTTCATATGGTATTTATTGTTGTATTCTCGTTTTCCTGGTCTCATTTTATAGAATGGAAGACATATTACAGAAATTGAGATGATTTTGACTGCTTTTACAATGAAAAGTACCTTGAAATTGAGCTCAAAGTAGCAGAAATGTTCGATTTTTACCAAAGTTCAAAAGTAAACAAATCATGCCAAGCGTCCAATACAAGTCAACTGATGAGTCTAATATTCTTTCACAAGTGCGCTGATATTATTTATACCATTTCTACACTAATGCAGTAGTCTGCATAACAGTAAATCTTCTATTTTTTGTAAGAATAAAAATTCAAAGTGGAAAGCCAAAGAAATATAAGAGGGGCCTGGGGATGCGAATAACGAACAGAGAACTTGTTATTTTAGTGCCAGGAATGTCTTTCTTGTTTATTCTGGACCCTATTTGGAAATTGGCATCTTTTGAAATTTGTGTGAAATTGGCAAAATTGCTAAATTCTGACCACTGTATTGGATAGTTGAAATTGGTAAATGGGTGGTTTCTTGTGCTCATTCGATAGAAAAAATGGAGTTCTAGCAAAATAGTTATGATTTTTGTCAACTAGTACACTGGAATTGGCCGAAAATAGGGTTCAAAGTGGGCAAAATCGCCGATGCGTAAACATCGTCGAGACCGTTAACTTCGCGAGAGCATAATTCCACAAGTTTTCCATCAAATTTCATACTTTTGGTGTCATTATGATAGGGAAAATATTCTCTATCTTTTCATAAGAAAAAATATTTTTTTTTTTTTGAAATTTGGGGGACCCTGAGAACAAGTCTCTGAGAGGGCCTGTGGACCCTGAGAGGGTTAAGGAAAAGGCCTTACAGTTGTTTAAAGCATTGTGTTATAAGGCAGGAAGGCCTGAAAAGGAGTGTATGTTTAGCACAGACTGGTTCCACAACTTTAAGTTGCATAATAAATTATATAATATTAAGTTTTCTGGTGAAAGTAATTCATCTGATCATACAGCAGCAAGTAATATCCCTGCTGAATTGCAGGAAATTATTTCTGAGGGTGGCTATGAGCCACATCAAGTGTTTATTCTGATGATACAAGTTTTTTTGGCAGAAAATGCCAACAAGACCTTATATCAGTCAGCATGAGAAAAGTGTACTGGGCTTCAAGACAGTGGTAATGCGTCAGGTGATTTCAAGTGTAAGCCCATGGTTATTTAGCACTCTAAGAATGCTCATGCTTTGAAAGGTGTAGATAAAAACACCTTACCAGTAATTTGGAGGTCAGACCAGTCAGCATGGATGACAAAGGAAATATTTATTGACTGAGTCTAAGCAACATTTTATTCCTGAAGTCAAGTTTTACCTGCAAGCAAGAACCTTGCATTCAAGACTCTTTTCATTCTTGATAATTCCTGTACTCATCCACAAGCTTTGCTGAATGTGACCTCACATGTAGAAGGGGAGTTATTAAGTCATTCAAGTGTAACTACATAAAAACAGTCATGAAAAACTAGTTGCATCAATGGACTCTGACTCCAACCTGGCAGTACCAAGTTTCTGGAATAAATTTAACATTGCAGATGCCATCCGCTATGCTAGAAGTGCATGGAGTAAAGTGCCCCAATCAACATTAAATGCAGGCTGGGGAAAGTTATGGCCTTCTGTAGATAATTCTTTCACTGGTTTTCCCTTGCTTGAGAGTCAGGCTCAGAAAATTGTTCAGCTGGCAATGAGATTACCAGGTGATGGCTTGGAAGATATGAATGATGTAAATGAGCTCTTAAAAGATGATGATGATGATGAAGACAGGAGTCCAGAGGAAATGCTGGCAGAGCTCAATGCACAGATACAAAGGAGCCAAATAACAGAAGAAGATGAAGAAGAACCTGAAGAAAAACAGTTAACATTGCAGCTAAACTAGCATTCATTTTCACTGAAGAGGACCCAGACATATCTAGAAGCAGCGCTTTGAAACGGGGTCTAGACCAGCTGATGATGCCTTACTGTCAGCTGTATAATGTACTGCAGGGTAAAAGAGCCCAGAGATCCATTACAGTATTTATGCACTTTAGTACCAGAACTTCTACCATCCACTTCTGCTGACAACCAACAACCATCCACCTCAGCCCAGTAGGGCCATACCATGCATCTCCACTCTCTTCACAATCATCCACAAACACTAGTACCCACAATGTAAGGTAAAAAATACTATTATTTATGTTGCATTTGTAATCTTAAGCAGTAAAAACATAATATATCATGACAATGAACTACAATTACATATTTGCTTTTATTTTTGTAAGATCTGTTGGTTTAAAAAAAAGTTGTTTGGGTTTTTGGGGGCTCCCAGAAACATAACCCTATTTTTCCCATAAGTTCTTTGGCCAGACCCCAAACATCTACTACATAGTAATAAAAAAAAGTGGAATGGGTTGCCTGACCATGAAAGCCATCTCAGTATAAGTTTATATTGCCAATAAGGTAAAACAAAAATTAAGTAGTGTATTTAGAATAAAATCAATTTTTGGAAGATAATCTGTTTGGTATTGCATATTTACAGTTACAGGAGCAGAGCTAAGCTTGTGGAAGCCCATCTTCAGTAAATAATCTATCATAAAAATAATTTTTAATTTTCATAGTTTGTTGCATCTTCTGCTAGTAAATAACTCCATTGTTTTAGAATTCTGTTAGCAAAGTAGCTTCTTTTTTTTTTTTTGCTTATCCTTAGAGCTATGGCTTTTTCTTCTACCAGTTGATGGTGTTAGGAAAATCTTCCTGGTCAGTCCTTTTGTAACTTTTTATAGTCTTAAATATTGGTGTCTTGTCTCCTCTTTATTTTTTTAAATATCTGCCAAAAGACGACATATCCATAAAGGAGAGACATGGATCAGTGGACAGAAATATGAGCTTTTAGATTATCTTATTAATTATGGTTAATACAAATGTAGCTACAAATGTGATTTTCTTCAATGCTGCTACTTTACTTGCTGAATTCTCCAACCTCTGCTACTTGCTGGTTGTTTCTTCCTTAACCCTTAACCCTTTGAGGGTCGACAGGCCCTCTCCGAAACTCGTTCTCAGGGTCGGCCAAATTTAAAAAAAAAAAAAAATTATTTTCTCTTATGAAAAGATAGAGAATCTTTTCCCGATCATAAAGACACCAAAAGTTTGAAATTTGATAGAAAACTTACAGAATTATGCTCTCGCAAAATTAGCGGTCTTGGCGATGTTTACGCATCGGCGATTTTGCCCACTTTGAGCCCCATTTTCGGCCAATTTCACTGTACTAGTCGACAAAAAACATGAATATTTCGCTAGAACTCCATTTTTTCTATCGAATGGGTGCAAGAAACCACCCATTTATAAATTCAAATATCCAGTACAGTGGTCAGAATTTAGCAATTTTGCCAATTTCACACAAATTTCAAAAGATGCCAATTTCCGAATAGGGTCCAGAATAAACAAGAAAGACATTCCTGGCACTAAAATGACATTTCCTCTAGTCATTAGTCACGTTTCAAGGGCCCTCTTATATTCTTTTGCTTTCCACTTTGAATTTTTATTCTCACAAAAAATATAAGAATTTACTGTTATGCAGACTACTGCATTAGTGTAAAAAATGGTATAAATATTATTTGGTGCACTTGTAAAAGAATATTAGACTCACCAGTTGACGTGTATTGCACGCTTGGCACGATTTGTTTACTTTGAAGTTTGGTAAAAATCGAACATTTCTGCTACTTTGAGCTCAATTTTCAAGGCACCTTTCATTGTAAAACCAGTCAAAATCATCTCAATTTCTGTAATATGTCTTCCATTCTATAAAATGAGACCAAGAAAACTAGAATACAACAATAAATACCATACGAAAATACACTGCAAAGTCGCTGATTTATTAAAAAAAATGGTCAAAGTTTTTTTTTTCTCATTATGCACTGTGTGCTGCAGGATTTTTTTTAGACTGTGCACACTGACCACATAGACCCATTCTTTCATATGAAGGCCTACCAGCTTTCTCCCACTAGATTTGAGGCCGCTAGAATTTATGAGTACTAGTACGTCAAAAACCCCTACGCGTAAAACGTACTAGTACGACCAAAACCCTCAAAGGGTTAAACTGTCCAAGCATAGATCTACATTTTCACTGCCAGCGCTCCGAATACAGTGGACCCCCGGTTTACGATACTAACATAGATCTACATTTGGACAGTTTAAGGGTTAACAACTAATTTATGTTTTATATGCACCATTATTAATATACAGTGGACCCCTGGTTAACGATATTTTTTCATTCCAGAAGTATGTTCAGGTGCCAGTACTGACCGAATTTGTTCCCATAAGGAATATTGTGAAGTAGGTTAGTCCATTTCAGACCCCCAAACATACACGTACAAACGCACTTACATAAATACACTTACATAATTGGTCGCATTGGGAGGTGATCGTTAAGTGGGGGTCCACTGTACGTACTGTAATTGCTTTCACCTAAAACCGCTGCTGTTTTGCTCACCCCTCAGTATATCAACTTCATTGCTCATCTTTCCCAGCAGGATGTACGGGAGGATTGCTACTCGGCAAGGCTGAGGGTGCAGGGTGTGGACATTGCAGATGCCAGAGACTATGTACTCAATGTGGAGAACGACAAGGGTGCTGATCGTTATGCCGTTGGTCTCCTTGTCAATGGTGGGTGAAGTAAATCTGTATGTGTTAAGGATTAAGGCTTTTTAGCTAAGATTCCTTGTAGTGCAAAATAAACCAGAAATGCAAAATTATAAGTGAGGCATTGTCTTTTGGCTGTGGAAAGTAGGTTCATGAGGAGTTCACACTTATTAATTTTATTTACTGATTCTCTTAACCCTTTGAGGGTCGAGACCCCTGCTCACAAACTTGCTCCCAGGGTTGAAGAATTTAAAGAAAAAAAATAAATTATTTTTTCTTATGAAATGATAGAGAATCTTTTTCCAAAGGTAATGAAATAATAAAGCATGAAATTTGATGGAAAACTTATGGAATTAAGCTCTCATGAAGTTAGCGTTCTTGGTGATATTTATGCATCGGCGATTGCCCACTTGGAGCCCTATTTTGGGCCAATTCCATTGTTCCAGTCAACCAGACTCATAACTATTTAGCTGAACCTCCTTTTTTTCTATCAATTGAGTATAAGAAACTGCCCATTCATGTATTTTAACTACCCAATAAAGTGACCAGAAATTACTAATTTGGTCAATTTAACACAAAATTCAAGAAAGGCCAATAATGTAGACATTCCTGGCACTAAAATAACATTTCGCTGTTTATTAGTCATCTCTCCAGGCCCCTCTTATATTACACTTGTTTTTCATTTTGAATTTTTACTCACACAAAAAATAGAAGATTTACTGTTAATCAGACTACTGCATAATGTTAACAATTGCATAAATAATGTCAGTGAATTCATGAGTGCATATTAGACTGGCCAGTTGATGCATGATGTGTTTTGCTTACTCTTGAACATTGGCAAAAATCTTCCATTCTATCAATGAGACCATGAAACCAAGAATGCAGCCATAAAAACCATATGAAAATACACTGCAAAGTTGCTGTTCTATATCAAAAACTCAGTCGCAATTTTTTTTTCTCATTGTGCACTGTGTACTGCAGGATTTTTTTATACTGTGCACACTGACCATGCAGACCCATTCTCTCATATATAGGCCTACCAGCTTTCTCCTGCAAGATTGGAAGCCACTAGAATTTTGGCAAAGTTTTACTGGACTGACCCTGGCCTCAAAGCCATAACATAATGTGACCAATCTCAAAAGGGTTAATATATGTTAGTTCTTTGTTTTTGGTGGGATGTATATTAGTAATACCATAGAACATATGATATTTCACAGTATAAAGAAGTAGCACTAAATATCCTAGCTTGTATGCATTGTTCTGGTCAGGCTTTAATAGAAAGCATTTAAAATGTGCTAGTATTATAAACTGTCTCACCAGCTTAAAATGATCTATTAAAATGAATTAAAATGACTTTGTATACTTCAAATTTGGTATGAATACACTTTGTAGTCATATTGTATACTGCATACTGTACATTTGTAGTCATATTATACAATACATACTGAATACTGTACATTTGTAGTCATACTGTACACCACATACTGAATACAGTGGTACCTTGACTTATGAGTACCCCAACTTACAAGTTTTCCAAGTTACGAGCCATTGCTTGGTCGATTTTTTGCTTTGAGCTGCAAGCCAAAATGTGAGTTACAAGCGAGCTTCAGATATGCCACTACTAGTTGGCGCAGCGAATGTCACAACATCTGCCCATTGAATTAACCCTTAAACTGCCCAAACGTAGATCTATGTTTGTGCGTGTACCGCTCCGAGCATAGATCTACGTTTTTTTACATAAGAAACAATGTAAAATCGAACGTAGATATACGTTTGGGCAGTTTAAGGGTTAAAGCATGACATCATAGAAAAACACGAGAAAATCACTTTTATTTCAGTGTTTTCCATATGAAACTAGTGATCTACTGCAGTTAGCCTCACAAGCACTCCATTGTCTCTTATAATAAGACCTCAGAAGAGCAAGAATGGGAAGATATGGTCAGAGCAATAATTATTTTTACTTCGGGAGTGGCCGCCACCACTCGTCACATAATGACATATTTTATTCATTCTAGAGAGTACGTATATCATATTTCTGTGTTATTTATATTGTTTATTATGTCATGTTAGATCAGTTGTGATAGATAAATAAGCTGTAGAGTTTATATTAGTGTTATAATTTCATTTGTCATCTTGGTTTTAGTTGGCTGTACAGAACGTGTCTGCATGCCTGCACCCACACAAAGCATCTCATGCACGCAGTCTGAGTCAGTCTGGCCCGGTGGCCTGGTGGCTAAAGCTCCCGCTTCACACACGGAGGGCCCGGGTTCGATTCCCGGTGGGTGGAAACATTTCGACACGTTTCCTTACACCTGTTGTCCTGTTCACCTAGCAGCAAATAGGTACCTGGGTGTTAGTCGACTGGTGTGGGTCGCATCCTGGGGGACAAGATTAAGGACCCCAATGGAAATAAGTTAGACAGTCCTCGATGACGCACTGACTTTCTTGGGTTATCCTGGGTGGCTAACCCTTCGGGGTTAAAAATCCAAACGAAATCTTATCTTATCTTATCTTAGGAAAGGTAGGGGGTGCATGGACCAGGTGTTTACAGTGAAACATATAAGTGAACAGTATTTAGATAAGGCTAAAGAGGTTTTTGTGGCATTTATGGATTTGGAAAAGGCATATGACAGGGTGGATAGGGGGGCAATGTGGCAGATGTTGCAGGTGTATGGTGTAGGAGGTAGGTTACTGAAAGCAGTGAAGAGTTTTTACGAGGATAGTGAGGCTCAAGTTAGAGTATGTAGGAAAGAGGGAGATTATTTCCCAGTAAAAGTAGGCCTTAGACAAGGGTGTGTGATGTCACCGTGGTTGTTAATATATTTATAGATGGGGTTGTAAGAGAAGTAAATGTGAGGGTCTTGGCAAGAGGCGTGGAGTTAAAAGATAAAGAATCACACATAAAGTGGGAGTTGTCACAGTTGCTCTTTGCTGATGACACCGTGCTCTTGGGAGATTCTGAAGAGAAGTTGCAGAGGTTGGTGGATGAATTTGGTAGGGTATGCAAAAGAAGAAAATTAAAAGTAAATACAGGAAAGAGTAAAGTTATGAGGATAACAAAAAGATTAGGTGATGAAAGATTGGATATCAGATTGGAGGGAGAGAGTATGGAGGAGGTGAATGTATTCAGATATTTGGGAGTGGACGTGTCAGCGGATGGGTCTATGAAAGATGAGGTGAATCATAGAATTGATGAGGGGAAAAGGGTGAGTGGTGCACTTAGGAGTCTGTGGAGACAAAGAACTTTGTCCTTGGAGGCAAAGAGGGGAATGTATGAGAGTATAGTTTTACCAATGCTCTTATATGGGTGTGAAGCATGGGTGATGAATGTTGCAGCGAAGAGAAGGCTGGAGGCAGTGGAGATGTCATGTCTGAGGGCAATGTGTGGTGTGAATATAATGCAGAGAATTCGTAGTTTGGAAGTTAGGAGGAGGTGCAGGATTACCAAAACTGTTGTCCAGAGGGCTGAGGAAGGGTTGTTGAGGTGGTTCGGACATGTAGAGAGAATGGAGCGAAACAGAATGACTTCAAGAGTGTATCAGTCTGTAGTGGAAGGAAGGCGGGGTAGGGGTCGGCCTAGGAAAGGTTGGAGGGAGGGGGTAAAGGAGGTTTTGTGTGTGAGGGGCTTGGACTTCCAGCGGGCATGCGTGAGCATGTTTGATAGGAGTGAATGGAGACAAATGGTTTTTAATACTTGAAGTGCTGTTGGACTGTGAGCAAAGTAACATTTATGAAGGGATTCAGGGAAACTGGCAGGCCGGACTTGAGTCCTGGAGATGGGAAGTACAGTGCCTGCACTTTGAAGGAGGGGTGTTAATGTTGCAGTTTAAAAACTGTAGTGTAAAGCATCCTTCTGGCAAGACAGTGATGGAGTGAATGATGGTGAAAGTTTTTCTTTTTTGGGCCACCCTGCCTTGGTGGGAATTGGCCAGTGTGTTAATAAAAAAAAATAATATTATTATTATCATAAATGAGAGCAAAACAGAATGACTTCAAGAGTGTATCAGTCTGTAGTGGAAGGAAGGCGGGGTAGGGGTCGGCCTAGGAAAGGTTGGAGGGAGGGGGTAAAGGAGGTTTTGTGTGCGAGGGGCTTGGACTTCCAGCAGGCATGCGTGAGCGTGTTTGATAGGAGTGAATGGAGACAAATGGTTTTTAATACTTGACATGCTGTTGGAGTGTGAGCAAAGTAACATTTATGAAGGGGTTCAGGGAAACCGGCAGGCCGGACTTGAGTCCTGGAGATGGGAAGTACAGTGCCTGCACTCTGAAGGAGGGGTATAAATGTTGCAGTTTAAAAACTGTAGTGTAAAGCACCCTTCTGGCAAGACAGTGATTTAGTGAATGATGGTGAAAGTTTTTCTTTTTCGGGCCACCCTGCCTTGGTGGGAATCGGCCAGTGTGATAATAAATAAAATAAAAACGAGAGAGAACAGGTAAACAAGAGAGAGATGCTGAGAGTTTAAACAAACAGATGAAGGCGTAAGGGGAGTCACTCGGGCGGAAGAAACGTGTATTAATACCCGTCTGCTTTTCATTCATACAAGTATATTTGCATGAGTTGGTGAAGCATTTACCCCACTTAAAATTGCATACAATTTGTCTTCATGTTAGTGCAGTAGAATAGATAAATAGCTACAAGTGAAGGCATGCAAAAGGAAAAATTTTCTACAGTTACCTCAGTAATACTGTAGTGTACACATTTTCTCTGGTATTGGACTAAAGAGAACATAGTTCTTACTGTCACTCTGACAAGCCGCCAGGCTACCACATCTCATATTTATGCCAAATTTATTCTACTGTGGTTCTACTGTGGGTGTATGTATCATGTTTATAGGTTTTTAGGATGCTAAGGACAGGTTAACTATCCTTGGGTGTGCCAATGCTGCAGGCACACACAAGGTGAAGTTGGCAGTGATTGGAAAAAGCAAACATCCGAGATGTCTAAAAGGTGTACACAATTTACTTTTGCATTATTATGCCAACAAGAAAGCCATCTGTCAGTCGTCTTGAGAATCATCTTGACAATCATGTTCCTGATCTATTATTATCCCATTATGTCATTTATCAAAATATTACTCTATAAATAAACCGTAGTAGTATTTGTAGTCTTTTTTATCCCACTTAGTGTGAGTATTCATACGTTTTTGCTGCAGTGTTAATGCTTGATTATAGGGTGCTGCCCTAGACCCCCACCTTCATTCTGAAATTCAAAACACTACTGGCCCCAAGGGTTATATATGGTATATATTCACCATTGTCATCCCTGGTGCAAGTAAATTTCATACATTCCAGTTCATCAGTATAGTAGATAGTAGTGTGTCCTCTTAATTGGTCAGGCCTGCAGATATGTATGGCTGTGTAACCAGGTAAGGCAAATATGTCTGTCAAATCATGTTTGAGCCAGGTTTCAGTAAGAGCATCACAGTGTTTACACAATGATCTAACATTATAGTTCAAGACTGTTATGTTCTTGCTGGCACTGAGTACAGTTTCAGCCTGACTAGCAGTGTAGTAATGGCAATTACTGTTAGGATTATTTATGCATTTTAATAAGAGGTTAATATCAGGATTGATATTTGTATTCATAAGAATAAAGGAGGATGTAAATAGTAAGTATTAACAGAAGGTACTTAGAGAATTAAGCTGCTGCAATTAGCAAAAATGAAAGTCAGTTATTGTTAACCACTAACAGGGATGAATATATGGGTTAAGACTATTATTTAAAGCTAAAAATGTATGCGCTACTGAGTATAATAAACTAAACCAAAAAAGATAACACTTTAGCACATGCTATAGCACCTGATGTTGCTAAGTAACATACACTTTTAACAATATAGTAAAAAATATAATGGGGATAGTACTGTACTTGAACAAGGAAATTTGAGGAAGCTTAACTAAAAAAAGTAGAAGAATTTAATATGGAAAGTAAACAAAAGTGTACAGTGAATTAATTATCCTAAAGTAAAGTAAATTTGAGTGGTTACAAATAAACAGTAGGTATAGACTATAAAGAAATATTGTATACCCTTTTTTTGCTAAACGAATGAGTGCACAATACAGATTGACCATCACTAATCCAGCATCATCGAGACCTGTAGGGTGCCAAATTAATGATTTTGCCAGATTACAGAGTGGTTAGGCTAGAATACACTTAACCCAATGGTGATATATATGCATTGGCAATGTCATCCACTTTACACCCTATTTTTGGCCCATTCCACTGTTCCAGTCTACCAAACTCATATATATTTTGCTAGTATTCCTTCTATTCTGTCAACTAAGTACAAGAAATCACCCATTTACCTATTTCAACTACCCAATAAAATGGTCAGAAACAGTATTTTGGCCAATTTCACACAAATTTCAAGAGATGCCAATTTCAAAATAAGGTCCAGAATAAATAGTGCAAACATTCCTAGCACTAAAATAACATTTTCTCTTTTCATTAGTTACATCCCCAAGCCCCTCTTATATTACACTTGCTTTCCATTTTGAATTTTTATTCACCCCAAAAATAGAAGATTTACTGTTATGCAGACTACTGTATTATTGTAATAATTGTATAAATAATGTGACTGCATATTAGACCAGCCAGTTGAACATGTATTGGACTGTGACATCATTTATTTACTCTTGAACATCAGCAAAAATCAAACATTTCTGCTACTTTGAGCTCAATTTTAAGGTACTTTCCAGCATGGAACCAATCAAAATTATATCTGTTTCTGTAATATATCTTCCATTCTATCAAATGAGACCAAACAAACAAGAATACAACCATACAAAAATACACTGCAAAGTCGCTTTTGCACCAAAAGCACTCGCCATTTTTTCTCATTATGCACTGTGTGCTGCAAGTTTTTTTTTATATAGTGCACACTTACCACACAGATCTATTCTCTCATATGTGGGCCCAAATTTACCGGTCACAGCTTATTCGAGGGAGCTGAGCTCATAGTGACCAACAGTGGCTTCGAAGCCACCTTATCTTTTATGGACAGTGTACGGTGTATGTGCTTTACACAATGAGAAGCATTTCTTTTATTCATTGGAACCATGGCTAGGGCTAAAAGTGAGCAGGTTATAACAATAAATGGAGAAAAAGAAATTGAAATGACTTATTTATTTATTTTATGTCTTTGCAAACAGTACATTGAGATTTTATATTTACAATAGTGGGTTGTAATGCAAAGAGAGCCTCTATTATGCCTAGGCATTATGGGCCAACTTAACATTATTGGCATACAGACTACTTAACACTAAGGATTTTATCATAGTTGTACAGTAGGACAGTAATTATTTCATAGTTGAGCAGTAGATTATTAATTATAAGTGAATTAAATTTGTATAAGACAAAGGATATATTCATATACATAGCCTAAAATGCTTTTTGTGAAAACAGTGGTTCAATTATATTCCTGTCAACAATGGATGAAAAGTTCAAAGTGATTGTTGAAGTTATGATGCGGGAGTACATAGGTGAGTATGTGTGTACTGGGTATTTAGCGTTTAGTCTAGGGTGATTAAGTGGCTTTTGAGATGAGTCTTAAACTGATTTTCAGACTGGGTTACTTTAATATCTTCTGGTAATGAATTCCATATTTTAGGGCCCTTTATGTGCATAGAGTTTTTACACAGTGTGATATGGACACGAGGTATATCAAAAAGAGATCTGTGTCTTGTGTTGTGGTCATGTGGCGGCAGTTTGGTGTGGCGACCCTGGAAATTTGAAATTATGCTAGCCGAAATTAGTGCCAGATTACTGATGGAACCAGATCACTGATTGCCAGATTAGTGATAGCCAATCTGTACTTCTAATACTGCTTTAATTGGGTATAGCAATCACAGTACTTGGAGAAAACACCTTTAACTTAATACCTGGGCTTCTCTAACTTCTACACACACATTTGCACTTGTTTTGAACTCACTTGTTAGTACCAAGAATTAGATATTCTGCCTCAGTGTGCTGCTCAAATGAGAAAAGTGTATGAGGTGGGCCTTGTGTTTACCCACATCTTGTCTTGTTTCCTCTGAAAACCATTCAACTTACAAAGCATTCCTAAGTCAAAGTCAAATATTTATTTGCACAAGGTAAAATGTTTGTACACAGATGGGTGACATTTGGTTGTGCATTTTTGTAAAACACACTAACAATAGCTCAAACCTATTTATTTTCTATTATTAACCCTTTCAGGGTCAAATGGCCCTCTCCATTTTTTTGTATTGAATGAGTACAAGCAACCAACCATCCAATAAAGTGGTCAGAAATTAGCAATTTACCAATTTCACACAAATTTCAAAAGATGCCAATTTCCAAATAGGGTCCAGAATAAACAAGACAGACATTCCTGGCACTAAAACAACATTTCATCTGTTCATTAGTCACATCTCCAGGCCCCTCTTACATTTCTTTTGCTTTCCACTTTGAATTTTTCTCACAAAAAATTGAAGATTTACTGTTATACAGACTTCTGCATTAGTGTAGAAATGGTATAAATAATATCAGCACACTTGTGAAAGAATATTAGACTCATCAATTAACGTATATTGTACGCGTGGCATGATTTGTTTACTTTTGAACTTTGGCAAAAATCGAACATTTCTGCTATTTTGAGCTCAATTTCAAGGTACTTTTCATTGTGAAACCAATTAAAATCATCTCAATTTCTGAAATATGTTTTCCATTCTATAAAATGAGACCAGGAAAACTAGAATACAACCATAAATACCATACGAAAATACAGTGCAAAGTCCCTGTTTTAAACCAAAAACACGGTCAAAGTTTTTTTTTTTCTCATTACGCATTGTGTGCTGCAGGATTTTTTTTATACTGTGCACACTGACCACATAGACCCATTCTTTCATATGTAGGCCTACCAGCTTTCTCTCGCTAGATCTGAAGGCGCTAGAATTTAGGCGTACTAGTACGTCAATAACCCTGGTGTGCAAGGCATATTAGTATGTCACAAACCCTGAAAGGGTTAAAAAATAATAATACAGTTAATTATTATGATCAAGTATAACTCTAGAATATTAACTAGACATAAAAATGAATAAATGCAATTATTTCAAGCTAAACAATTCTAGTAAAAATATATTGGAAGATCCTGATCAACAGAACATCAACAAGTGCAAATTGCCACATCTTAATGTATTTCTTTTGTTCATTTACACCTTTTATGATAATGTGAATATCAGTAATCATTTACTGGTGTTACAATTTATATTCATTATACCTGAGTCTGACTATGTCCACATTTGCAGAGAGCTAAAGGGTGGAAATATTTCACAAAATCAATTACACAAATAATAATAATAACCAATAATAATAGTGACAATAATAATAATTTCTGAAGCTATTCACTAAAAATTGATACACCACATGTGACTGAATTAGGCTGGTATTTACAGGTTCCAGAAAAATCAGAGGAGTACAGGTGTGCAGAAGAAAAAAAGACTTCGTAAAAAATTCATGATTGTCTATTATTGATGTAGTAAGAGATTTATTTACAGGTTGCTGCTCCAAGTGCAGCTCAGGAAACCTGAACACAAAAACTATATGTAATTTATTTTTTTGCAGGTTGTGCGGATTCTCATAGCCTCCCATTTACATTTTCCCATGAAGTTAATTTTTGTGTTATTACTGTTTTCAGTTTTCATTTGAACAGATATCCTGTCCATTATAGTACTTTGCTTTCTATTCCCCATATTTTGTAGTTTCCAGATTAATCTTTCATGAAAAACTGTAAAAGGTCCTTTTTGAAATATACTGTACAAGTAGATGGTCTACCCATCCATTTCTTGCTTCTGGATTTTTTGTAGGTTTTATCATAGGTTAACAGAAGTGTAATTTGTATTGTATGAGGTAAGCACTGTAGAGCATGAAAAGTAATAGTAGATTTTAGAAAGTATACCTACTTGTTTGAACATAATTCAGTACTTTTTTATATATGGGAGAAGAATGGATCATTATCAGACCTGGTGAATTCCCCCCTTCCCCACCAGGACATGTAGACAAGCCCCCACTACAGCGTGTCCCTCCCTCAGCAGAACCCGTGTCCATGTCCACTGTGATTGGCATCGTGATCGCTTGTCTCGTCGTCCTTGTGCTGGTGACTCTGATTATCCTCTACGCTTTCAAGACAGAGAAATGGTGCTTCTCTCGTAAGTAGATCTACTTTATATCTTATGTGTTTTTACGTACAATATGACTAGTATAATTATTTTTTATTAAAGTTTTGCCACTGCATTAAATTATAAATGGATGTTCTGTAATATGAATTTTATGTGTCACTAGTGTACAACAAAATTTTATTTTGCTTTTGTGGTTATTGTGGCAGAATTTTATATATTGATTTTTGGCATATTCTTCACATTCTATACTATGTGCTTCAGATATGAAACATTTTGCCAGTGCTTATATAGCATGAATTATTAGTGTAGTCCATATTAGTCATGGTAATCTTTTACCATAAATAATATTTACTTATTTGGGGCTAAATTTCATGTAAACAGATGTTATCAAAGTTTATTTACTCTTCCTACTATACATGAATTGTCATCACCACTTCAATAAACTGTGCAGGGGTTTTGTCTCCATGGCAGAAGTGGCGAAAATCTCGAAAAATAAATTGTTCAGGTGAAGAGATGAAAGATTACTTTGTTTAGCTTTATTCTCCTTGGCTTGTTTCCCCTCTGGCTCAGACAATCACCACCGCCACCTGTTGAGATCTCTGCACTGTGTCTAACTTGGTGTTCCTTGCAAATAACTCATCCTTCTTATGGCCAACTATGTATGTTTTTTTTCCAAGATCAAAAGTATAGTAGAGGGTTTACCATACTGGTACACAATTATATTTAAATTTAAGATAGATTTTCTTTGATGAACATCAAAATGGTATACAATACCGACAGGTTGGTAGGTAAGACACATAGGCAACAGTTAGGCAACTTTATTCCAAAACGTTTCAGAATAAAGTTGCCTAACTGTTACCTATGTGTCTTACCTACCATAGATTTTCTTTGCTATGTGGATGTATCTTTATAAGCAATTATAATTTATTCACAATCTGTTTGTGGAAGTTTACCAGTTATGGAATTCATTCAGTCTCTTATAACCTTCATTGTCTATATAATTATTCACAATTTGTTTGATTTTTATATATTTAAAAGCTAATGATCTGTAATATAAATCTCAGTTAGCTGTGATTTTAGATGAATGGTTCAGAGAACTGACATGTTGATAAATTAGACACATGTGCAACTCTTGGGTATCTTTATTGAGGAAACGTTTCGCCACACAGTGGCTTCATCAGTCCATACGTAGGAGAAACTTGAAGAACAGGAGGAGAATGAGGTAATCAGTCCCTCAACCTTGAGTCAATGTGTTCAGTCCATCAATCTTGAATAGAATATTCAAGATTGAATAGAATATTCAAGATTGATGGACTGAACACATCGACTCAAGGTTGAGGGACTGATTACCTCATTCTCCTCCTGTTCTTCAAGTTTCTCCTACGTATGGACTGATGAGGCCACTGTGTGGCGAAACGTTTCCTCAATAAAGATACCCAAGAGTTGCACATGTGTCTAATTTATCAATCTGTGATTTTAGCTCAGTTGGAGTGATCTGGCACAGTACTTTAGAATGCTTGAACCATATTTGACCTCTTATACTGCATGCTTATTTTTGAATTCTAGAAATGCTGTAATATTCCCTACACATTATATTTTCACCATTACGACATCTTTTAGGTTATGTGCAGTATTCATGCATAAATTTGTACTGTAAACAGAAAACATTTAGAACATATTTTCATAAATTTCATTTACAGTGAAATTAAATAGCAGTGCTTTGAAGTATGAAAAAATTATATGGTTTGATGAACCACATGAGGAGTAAATTGTTTTTAAATACTGTATCTTTAATTTTACCAATATAGAAATCTTTTCAACTTGTCATTATGTTTCCTTCCCATTTTTCATTTTCTATTGTGAATGTAGATTTGCTTTTATTTTTTGGGCCCACTCATCTAATATTTACAGTCCCAACAACCTGAGTAGCTACAGAAGACATGGTAAGGTGGCAGTCTCTCTGGTTCAGCAAACCATTTTTAGAAAGTATTTTTTTTTCATTCTCTATTTCAGTATGTTGTATCATGTATTTAAGTTTGATAAACCACTTGGGAATCCTACCATGAGCTCCCTCAATCATAATGAGGGCAATTGTAAACTATAAGGCAGAAAAAAAATTCAGAGGTTTGTTCCTCTGTCAAAACTGCCATAAGCACTTACTAGAATAATAGACATGGGCAGAATAAGCCCATTGAAAAGCAGAGGTATCATAGTACAATTAGAAAATAGTGTTAACATCTGTACATTAAACCTCTTTGCATTTACTATAGCACTGAGACAGGAAATTCATGACATTTTTAAACCTTGAATTGTCTAGGTCACAAACTGGTGACTCTTGGCTAAATTTTTATAAGGAGGGCCCCATTCATACGGCTCCTAAGGTTCATAATCTCAAACGATAAGCAAAAATTTGCCAGTGGTGAAAATGAGCCATTTTTTCATTACTGAATGCATCTAAAATCCTGAAACATATTTACACTATCATATATTAAGTGCTCATTACAGCTAAGCATAAAAAAACAGATAAAAGAGTAAAATACAGCCTCTCCTCACTTACCGACGTATTTGTTTACCGATGCTTCAGAGTTACGACGGGCTCTTTGACCAGTATTCATGCCTAAATAACATATTAGAGCTGATTTCCTCTATTTTGTTTATTTCAGTATACAGTAGGGCCCCGCTTTATGGCATTTTGCTTTACGGCGTTTTGCCAATACGTTTCAAATTATGACCAAAACTCGCTATATGGCTCCCCCACCTGACTTTCTAATATAATTACCGCACCCCACCTGGTTTGTTTACATTCTCCATAAGCACCATGTCTCTCCAAAATTTAATGTGTTTTTAAAAGTTATTTCATATTTTATATATACTCTGATAATTATACTTAAGTATACCTGTACTTAAATAAACTTACACACTGTGCTGGCATGCAGGTACATATTAAAATCACTAAGAGTATCTTATGTCTCGAGATGCCATATTAGTACTGATAATAATAATACTCAATAATAATCACTGAGTCTCATTAAATGTCATACATATTATGATAATATACACATTTTCATTAAACCATCTATGATATTTTTTCAAAATAATATAATAAACATGATACGTAACATATAAAGATGATAAATACACTCCACAGTAGAATAAATAAACATAAATATGAGATGTGGTAGCCAGACGACTTGTACAACTGATGTAGTATTAGTAATAATAATAATAATACTCAATAATAATCACTGAGTCTCATTAAATGTTGTAAATTATGTTAATATACACATTTTCATTAGTCCATCTATGATATTTTTTTCAAAATTATATAATAAACACGATACATAACATATAAAGATGATAAATACACCCCACAGTAGAATAAATAAATATAAATATGAGATGTGGTAGCCAGACAACTTGTATGAGTGATGGCAAGAATAACATTTTCTCTACTCCAACATAAGAGAAAATGTGTTACTGGGAGTAATTGTAGAAAATTATTCCTTTCATATCCCTTCACTCAGAGCATCATTTCTTCTAAAAATGGCATTACATGAAAATGGGAGTGTTCCTCTTTATTTATTCTACCATATCAATGTAGAGACAACTTGTACACAATGTAACTTGTACACAAACCAAACATGTTTGCCTAGTTTGTTTACAAAACTTGCATTCGCCTGGTTTGTTTACATAACTCCACGCCTGTCCTCTCTCATGTACTCATTCTCTCTCTCGCTCTCTCGCTCTCTCTCTCTCTCTCTCTCTCTCTCTCTCTCTCTCTGACTCACCTCTGACCCTGCATTAAGACTACAAATATTTTAAACAAACAAACAAATTTTATTCCTTTGCAAGATTACATTGAGAATATGAAATTACAATAATGAGTTGCAGTGCAAAAGAGAGCCACTATCATGCCTAGGCATTAATTTAATGGCTTACAGACTACTTAATACTAAATAAATTGATCATAGTTGTTTTAAGTTGTACATCTGTTTTTATTTATAGTAGACATTAATTGTACTCAAATTACAATAGTTTCAATAATAAATATTGAAATTATATTATGGGAATATAATATTGTGAGTTGTTGAAAGTAGTTTACAGTATGAGAATGCTTCAATTGGGTGTAAGGCAGTATTGTTTTGGGTAGGTATTTTTACTAGGTATTTTACTTAAACAAGATGGGTCCTACACAGATGACAGCAAGGAAATGAGTGAGCTACTCTAGTCCCAATATGACTCAGTTTTTAGCAAGCCGCTAACCAGACTGAGAGTCAAATTTTATGAGTCAAATCTTACGCCAAATCTAAGGCAAAAACAACATCCAGTATTGGACCCCTGCTTAGATGAGATGGGACTTACACAGATGACAGCAAGGAAATGAGTGAGTTACTAAAATCCCAGTATGATTCTGTGGTTAGTGAGCCACTAACCAGACTAAGAGTTGATGACACAAATAAATTTTTTATGACCGAGATGCAGAATTTAGTCGACTCAAACGTCTCAGATATTATCCCATGCACTCTGCCCCAGGCCCAGACTTGTGGAACTCTGTGTTCATCAAGAACTGAAAGAAACCCCTATCACATGCTTTAGCATTCTCTGGAGAAGGAGCATCAAAATCAAAATCAAAATGTTTATTTCCTTGTAAAACTTACAATGTGTGGTTTACATGTTATAAAATATTAATTACAAAGAAGACCACTAGCATGCCTAGGCATTTCAGGCGGACTATAATAATTCCTACTCTATATTGATATAGGTTATGGAGCAGTACATTTGAATATACATACATACAATTCAAGTTTATTCTCTATAAGGGTTACAATGTGGGGTTTACAGGTTTTGGGTATTGTATGGTTTACATGTTATAAAATACTAATTACAGAGGGGGCCACTAGGACACCTAGCATGGCTAGGCATTTCGAGCAGACTTAGATTAATTCTTAACATTAAATCTTTACAGATTATGGTATTAAGGCTAAGTGACTACATCATAATTTGTGAGTTTAGCAATGTGAATGCTTTTG